ATCAATACATTAAAGCCAGGTTAGTTTTGCTGTCATGCCACAAAGTAAAGCAGCTCCCTTAAGACACTGTCATGGATGGATGAAAAAGACAGAAGTTGACATCTGCAGCAAGAAAGACATTTTCAAACATTGGCCCTTGCCAAGCAAAGGGGCCGTGGCTCTTTTCCAGCCAGCTCAGAATGAAATGCAAGATAATAAAATAAAATCAAGCAATTGTTCCAAATTAGTGCGTCCTAGGATCATAGAGGACATCCCAAGGGCTATGCAGCCCAACCCCCTGTCATGCAGGAACACAGATTCAAAGCATCCCCAACAGATGGCCATCAAGCCTCTGCTTAAGAACTTCCAGAGAGGAGAATCCACCATGCTCCAAGGCAGCATTTTCCACTGCTGAACAGCTCTTACTATCAGAAAGTGATTACTAATGTTTAGGTAGAATCTCATTGCCTGCACTTAGAGGTCTTGCTAACCTCTGGACGTCCCTATGCTTCACCCACACCCTTTGTGGTTATTGTTCTGTATCCACTGTGTATGGATGGAGTGTGTGTATGTGTGGGATTTGTCCACATCTTGTTGATGGGAAGCTTCCCACCGGAGAGGAAATCATCGGACAGATGGCAAGCTTTCACCTCAGCAGACTGAAAACCAAAACAAAGGTCACAACAACATCTGTTATAGAACTCAAATATGCTGATGATAACATAGTATGTGCACATTCAGAAGAAGACCTACAAGCCACTCTAAACAACTTTGTAGAAGTATACGAGAAGCTCTGCCTCTCATTGAACATCAGGAAAAACAAAATGCTCTTCCAGCAGGCACCAGCCAATCTTTCTGCAATGCCGAAATACAGCTTAATGGTGTGACATTAGAAATGTTGGCCATTTCCGCAACCTTGGCAGCCACCTCTTCACAAAAGTCAACATTGACACTGAAGTACAACATCGCCTGAGCTCTGCGAGTGCAGCATTTTTCCGAATGAAGTATATTAAGGTGCTTGTTTATAAAGCCATTGTCCTTCCAACCCTGTTAAATGTCTGAGAAATGTAGACTATTTACAGACTTCAGACTCAGCTCCTGGAACGATTCCATCAGTGTTACCTCTGAAAAATCCTGCAAATCTCTTGGGAAGACAGGTGGACAAATGTCATTGTGCTGGAAGAAGCAAAGACCACCAGCATTGAAGCGATGCACCTATACCATCAATCCTACTGGACTGGCCACGTTGTCCGAATGCCTGATCACAGTCTCCCAAAGCAGTGACTACACTCCCAACTCAAGAATGGGAAACAGAACACTGGTGGACAGGAAAAGAGATTTAAAGATGGGCTTAAAGCTAACCTTAAAAATTATGGCATGGACACTGAGAACTGGGAAACCCTGGTCCTTGAGTGCTCTAATTGGAGGTCAGCTGTGACCAGCAGTGCTGCGGAATTTGAAGAGGCATGAATGGAAGGGGAAAGGGAGAATCATGCCAGGGAGAAGACACATCAAGTCAACCCTGACCAGGACCACCTTCCACTTGGAAACCAATCTCCTCACTGTGGAAGAACATGCCGATCAAGAATGGGGCTCCACAGTCACCTAATGTTAAGACACTACACTTGAAGGCCATCATACTCGGACGAGGGATCATGTAAGTCAGTAAGCACATGGGGTATCATCCCCTCAACATTTCACAGATGAAAGTCAGGATATGTGTGCCTTAGCAACATCGGAGTGTGGTTAAGATGGCACATTTAATAATGAGAAAGAATACATAGCTATCAGAAGCTGCAGAACTTTGCTTTTGCAAGAGCCTATTGAGAAAGGCACCAACACACCCTGTTCTTTCCAACCACCCAAAAAAACTGATATGCCACTGAGAAGCATGTGGTGTGGAACACATTTCGCCTACTTAATCTTGACATGTCAGGAGGTGGAAACCGTTAAAGGCAGGGAAAAGGAACAGGAAGAAATGAACGTTACCAGGCAAGCTGTAAGGCAGTCGAGGGCAATCTGATAACGGTTTGTAAACAACCCACAGGAAGGGTTGGGCCACAGGAGCAACAAATTCATGTGTCATGTATGTGTATGTCTATAATGGTATACATGCATAATGTGTCATGAAATACAATGTATGATTTGAATGGAATTATATGAAAGATGTATGGTTGGGGCCTATATAGTCTAGAGATAGCATTCTAAGATTGCGGCTTGGAAAACTACAAAAAGGAGGTGAAGAATTCATGGACTATAATTAGAAGTTGCTGATGCGAACTGTGATAATGATTAACTGTTGAACTTTTGGGGGAAAACAATGTGTTTCCTTTATCAGAGACAATGGCTCTTTAAGTTATGGAAACGTTTACAAGGTTCCTTACGTTAAAAGGGAAACCAACACAAGGCTCCTTACATTTACCAACACCAATTAAGGAGAGTCAATCTCTGCCAGGAACTGGGGAGCCAGGAAGTTTCAGGCTGGAAAACATCTCTCATTCGTTTACAACTTTGGAACAACATCAGCAAGAAATATTGCTATATAAGAGACCTTATTACAATCCCAAATTATGGTAGACTGGAGGAGTCTGGCCCATCCACTGCTCTTCTCCTTGGGAAGAGATGGTGTATCTTTGAGGGTGGCAGATCGGCAAAGGAAAACAGTTTGGTCACTTCACATAGGAAGAGAAAAGAGTGCGAGTCATGATATGTTTGCAGGGGATTAGTTTCTGCTGTAGGGAAAGCAGAGATCTGATCCTTGGCATTGCTCTTAGAGAAAGAGGATGTATTTCGGTGTTTTGGAAATTTTTGGAACTGTGCATTGGCAAGCTGCAGGGAAAGCAGGGTCTGGGCTACGCAGATTCTTCTCCATAAGATGACGGAAGGAGAAAGGATATCATAATATTTGGATGCTTGAGGATGAATGAATGCGTAACTGTAATGTGAATGCTAAGTAAAAATGTAATCCCTCTTTGTTAGCCAATGTAACTGTAGGTTTAGTGGATTCAATGTAGTTACATAGAATCTGTATATCTGTAGGTCCAATGTCATTCTTTGTGTAAAAGTTCTGATATCTTTACTGATACTGGAAAATTGCAATAAAAAGAACCTATGTTTGAAGTTATTGAAAAGTTATTAATAACAAATGTTGTTTTCAAACACAATGGAATTTAAGAAGTGGAGTGTGCCCCCTCATCCTTATGGCATGGTCAAAGACCTGCAATCACAGAAATATATGGATCCCCCAGTGGCGCAGTGGGTTAAACCTTTGTGCCAGCAGGACTGAAGACCGACAGGTCGGAGGTTTGAATCTGAGGAGAGTGTGGGTGCGCTCCCTCTGTCAGCTCCAGCTCCCCATACGGGGACATGAGAGAAGCCCCCCACAAGGATGGTAAATTTTTTTAAAAAATCCGGGGGTCCCCTGGGCAATGTCCTTGCAGACGGCCAATTCTCTCACACAAGAAGAAACTTGCAGTTTTTCAAGTCACTCCTAAACCACCCCCCCCAAACCAGAAATATTGAAAATATTAAGAAGAAAAAATCAGAAAAGCAAGCCTTGTTTTTCCATTTTATATCAGGCAAATGATTTTATTATGTAATTGGAGATAATTGGATTTAAACATCAATGGCATTTGGTATTCACAGAAGAGTGGCTAGAACCCACCCCAGCTGATACCAAGGGTTTACTGTACTTGCCAAGTGCAATCCTAAGCAATTGGAAGGAATTATTTTCTCATATTAGCTGTTCGGTTTCCAAACTCTCTTGCAGTGATCTTGCCCCTTGAGAAAACTGCAGTAAAGATCTTTTGGAGAAAGTCCTAACCATAAAATCAGTTGAAAGATACAATATAGATAAGCATTCCTTTATGTTATGTTCAAACAAATTCCAACTTTTGTTTTATTTATTTGTTTGTTTTCCCTATTTATAGCCCACCTTTCTCAACCCTAAAGGGGACTCAAGGTGGCTTACATATAGATTTAATTTATATGAGATGAATACTGATTCCAATAGACTTCTATCACCTTGAAGAATAACAACTCTAGTAATTATGTGTTATTGAAGGCTTTCATGGCCAGAATCACTGGGTTGCTGTGAATTTTCCGGGCTGTATGGCGATGTTCCGGAAGCATTCTCTCCTGATGTTTTGCCCACATCTATGGCAGGCGTCCTCAGAGGTTGTGAGTTCGGTTGGAAACTAGGCAAGTTCGGTTTATATATCTGTGGAATGTCCAAGATGGAGAAAGAAATCTTGAGGCAAGTGTGAATGTTGTAAAAATCCAACAAATCCCACGTCCTCAAAGGACAAGAGGGATCCTCTCACCTCGGGATAAGTCTACCATATACCATGCAGCTGCGGACAAGTCTTCATAGGGACCACCAAACGCAGCATTGCCCAAACACAAATCAAGAAATATGAAAGGCACTGCAGACTAACTCAACCAGAGAAGTCAGGAATTGTGGGAGTTGAAGTCCAAAACACCTGAAGGGCCCAAGTTTGACTGATCTATGCTATAGAATGAATGCATTGGAGCTGTAGCTTTTAGAAGGTCTTTATCCAAATTGTGCTGGTGACTCACCAATCTATAGTTTCCATAATTCCATAAGATTGAGCTCGTTCTGTTAGTGATTTTCCCATCCTAACTTGGCTCCTCATTTAGATGGGATGTGTGTCCCATTCCTAACTTCTGTACAGCCTTACCATCCTGCAGTAGCCCCCCAAATAAAAATATATGCTAGTCTCTTTTATGCTGCCATCCTATATACACTTATTTGGAAACATTTAAACATTTTAAAAGAACCTCAAAACCTGGCTTTTCCACTGCGCCTTTGGCGAGTAGGTGCACAGAATGATATTTTACACTCCCTCAACGTTTTCGGCTAATGGAGTTTGTGCCCTCCAAATAGGAAGTGCCCAGATGTGGAAGAGGAGCATGGAAATCCCAAAAGGAAAGAGGGAGGACACTTCCGCATCCGGTCCTGCCTCTTTTCCCCCTTTCTTTCCTCCTCCTCCTCCTCCTCCTCCTCCTCTTCCTCCTCTTTGTTTTACTTTTTCACTGATTGGGAATGGAGAAAGATTTGGAGAGCGCTCCTTTAATTGAAGGAGAAATGCTGGAGGAGAAGGAAAGCATTGGATAAGAGCACTGGATAAGACAGAATGTCAGATAAGCAAAGTTTGGATAAGCGAGACTCTACTGTACTGTAATTTTACAACCTACACAATTCATTTGTATACCATGTAGCCAACTGCAAGTGCCAATTTGGTATTCATTCTGTGACACCATTCAGGATCAAAGAGATTTCCTCTCGAAGGAATATGAATGAAGTCTAACAGGATGAGCCAGCATTACCTGCACCTGATATGCATGGTATCTACTTGAGGGAAAAAGTCAGGACTTCAACAACCAAGCCAAGACAAAATTCTATTTTGTATCTGTGTTGTTCTTGAGTTTTCCAGGCTGTATGGCCATGTTCCAGAAGCATTCCCTCCTGATGTTTTGCACACATCTATGACATGAACCTCTGAAGATGCCTGCCATAGATGTGGGTGAAATGTCAGGAGAAAATGCTTCTGGAACATGGCCACACAGCGCAGAAAACTCACAGCAACCCAGTGATTCTGGCCATGAAAGCCTTCAACAAAACATTGTGTTATTCCTATTTACCAGTATGTATATTCAGTTTCTCCTACATACAAAATAAGTTTATGAAATGGCTTTTTTGTTTTGTCCTTATATTGTTTAAAAACTCTCTTAGAAAAAAACACCTCTAGGTATTTGAAAACATGACTTTAAAAAATAATACTAAATAGTAAGTGCTGAAGTTATATTGAACCAAAAACACTGAGCCTATTAACAATTGTATATTCTAATTGTGGCTTTCCAGAAATGACTGTTGACCTGGAAACGAATAAAAAGAGAATGACAGTGTCAAGATTTAAGTTGCAGTGGGTGGCGATGACTTCTTATAACAGCGTTTTTCAACCTGAGAGTCGGGACCTCTGGTGTCAGAGGGGTTACCAAAGACCATCAAAAACACAGTATTTTCTATTGTTCATGGGGGTTCTGTGTGGGAAGTTTGGTCCAGTTCTATTGTTGGTGGGGTTCAGAATGCTCTTTGATTGTAGGCAAACTATAAATCCCAGCAATTACAACTCCCAAATGCCAAAGTCTATTTCCCCCAAACTCCACCAGTGTTGGGCATATTGAGGATTTGTTCCAAGTTTGGTCCAGCTCCATCATTGTTTGAATCCACAGTGCTCTCTGGATGTAGGTGAACTACAACTCCAAAACTCAAAGTCAATGCCCACCAAACCCTTCCAGTATTTTCTATTGGTCATGGGAGTTCTGTGTGCCACGTTTGTTTCAATTCCATCTTTGGTGGAATTCAGAATGCTCTTTGACTAACTATAAATCCCAGCAACTATAACTCCTAAATGACAAAATCAACCCCGTCCCCCGTCCCGCAATCATCACCAGTATTCAAATTTGGGTATATTGGGTATTTGTGCCAAATTTGGTCCAGTGAATGAAAATACATCCTGTATATCAAATATTTACATTACAATTCACAACAGTAGCAAAATTACAGTTATGAAGGAGCAACGACAATAATTTTATGGTTGAGGGTCACCACAACATGAGGAACTGTGTTAAAGCGTTGCAGTATTAGGAAGGTTGAGAACTGGAGAACAAGCCCTATGAGGAGCGGCTTAAGGAGCTGGGCATGTTTAGCCTGAAGAAGAGAAGGCTGAGAGGAGATATGATAACCATGTATCAATATGTGAGGGGAAGTCACAGGGAGGAGGGAGCAAGCTTGTTTTCTGCTTCCCTGGAGACTAGGACGCAAAACAATGGCTTCAAACTACAAGAGAGGAGATTCCATCTGAACATGAGGAAGAACTTCCTGACTTTGAGAGCATTTCAGCAGTGGAACTCTCTGCCTCGGAGTGTGGTGGAGGCTCCTTCTTTGGAAGCTTTTAAACAGAGGCTGGATGGCCATCTGTCAGGGGTGATTTGAATGCAATATTCCTGCTTCTTGGCAGGGGCTTAGACTGGATGACCCATGAGGTCTCTTCCAACTCTTTGATTCTATGATTCTATCCTGTCTTAGAACATTAAATAAATTGGCTATTTGAAATGTATATACTTTTTGGAAATGATGACTCAAATTTCCTGTTACAAAACAGAACAATTTGCCTATGGTGATTCTTTCACCACAACTTCATTTTCTCTTGACACACTTGGTTTCCCTCTTTGCACGCATATACGTACATATCGATCTGAAAGAAGCTTTCCACCTGACCCTTACACAAAACACCACCTAATCTTCTAGACTTAGCATAGCGTTGGGTGAATCTGTCCTATAAGTCGCTGGGAAACCCAGACTCCAGATTTACCTCGGAGTTTGTCTCCACCCTGCAGATACCATGCAAACCGGAAAAAGGATGTGGTCAGGCATTTCTGAATGCAGTAATGGCAAAGCAAGAGTTTTTCTTTTTTGCTCCTCCACGCCTCCACCACCACCCACACAGACAATGGACCAAGACATGGAGAGGAAGATAAGCACAAGATGGACTGTAGTCTAATGGAAATGGGAGGGGAACATGTTGGTAGCAATTGTTGAAGAAGGAGGCATGATCTATATGAGTTGCTTAGGAGGATCCTTGCTCTGGTTTGCTCAGAGTGGAGGAATTCTCAGATACCTCCTTGGTGGGCTCGGATAATTTGCCATTGGCTTCCCCAAGTCCTTCTGGACCAGGGTCGCTTTGGAGCAGCTGCTGGCATTCCTCCTTCTCTTTTTTCCCACTGATGTCTTCCATGGCCACCGAGGGCAGCCTCGATTGACGTTTGCCAAAGAATGTGACCAAGGTGCTGCGCCTTGTTTCCCTATCCCCGGGGGCAGCCACTGCCTCTGCTTCAATGTCCCTATCCAAGGCCGAATCGTCTGGCAATGCCACCTGACCTGCCCACCCGGCCTGGTTAAAGTTGGTAGACCCAGAGCGCCGCCGATGCCTACGGTACACGAAAGCCAGGAATGCCACAAGGCACAAGATGCAGGCAGCTACTGCCAAGATGATGATGAGGTAGCGGTTGTCTTTAGAGCTTGCCCCAGTGGAATCGGGCTTTGGGTCTTCCGCTGCCACAACCACGGGGTTATGAACGGTAGTCCCAATTGTGATGTTGTCTGGTACATCTTTTACCGGTTCCATTGTCATCTCTGTTTCTTCTTCTATCTCGTTCAACGTGGGACGGAGAGTAGCAGTTTTTTCAGGAGACGTCTCCTTGCCTGTTGTTACTGGGTATTTCTGTCTCACAATGGCTTTGGCAGTTGTATTGGAGCTTGTATGGATAATGGAAGTGGATGTGTCAGAAATACGCATGATGGGAGTCACACTTTCTTCAGAGTCTGAAGCAGCAGTTTGCTTGGGAGGCAATTTGGGTGCTATCGTTGTTTGCTTGGGAGGCAACTTTAATGCTACCGTGGTCACAGCATCGGTTTGCTTGGGAGGCAATTTGGGTGCTACTGTTGTTTGCTTAGGAGGCAATTTTAATACTACCGTTGTATTCTTGCTGCTGGATGTGCTGGGAGGTGATTCAGTTGATAGCTTTGGCTCTTGGAGAGCTGCCACAGAGACATCAGAATGCTTCCCTGGACTAGTTTTCTCCTTGTGTTCAGTTGTAGCAAGTGTTGGCGTGGTGGAAACAAGAAGCTCAGTGACATTAGATTTCTCTGTTGCTATGGTGGAAACAAGAAGCTCAGTGACTTTAGATTTCTCTGTTGCCACATCTGTGTCTGCAAGGGAGCCCACAGTAAAAAGGATCAAGAAGCCAAAGAGGAGGGATCTTGATGTTGTCATGGCTGTAGAACATCAACGTCCAGTATTTTCTTTGTGGAACACAAACCAATGGTAAACTGAAAACAAAAAGAGAAGAAACTGTAAGACAAGGGATTCCCACAGGCAGTAAGAAGCCAGACCTTAAAACTGCTAGGCCATTCAATGCAAATCAAGGTGTCCAATTGCAACATTCGCACCTACCTCAAACAGACAAGAGTTCTTTCTCCCACTCTAGACATTCCACAGATACATAAACCCCACTTGCCTAGTTTGCAACAGACCCCGCAACTTCTGAGGATGCCTGCTATATATGTGGGTGAAATGTCAGGAGAGAATGCTTCTGGAACATGGCCACACAACACGGAAAACTCACAAAAACCCAGTGATTCCAGCCATGAAAGCTTTCGAGAATACATTGATGGGAAAAAACCAGTTCAGCAAGGGAGAAGAATTCTGCACAGATCTTGCTGGATTGAGAACTTCATGCACACAGAGATCATATGTATATACCATCTCTACATCATAATGTCTACTCAGATGCAACTGGTGAAGAGTCTGTATGTTGTTGGAAATATTCACTGTGAGCCTACCTTGTGAAATAGTTTGGTTGGACACAAGCATACCCATCTATATGTTGACATGGATGGGAATGCAGATCTCCTTCTGTCTCAGCAATGAGGAGTGATTTATTATCCATGGCTGTAGTTGGACAGGGCCAAGATATCTAAGGGTTTTGTTTGTGTAACCTGTTCTTATTATGTGCCTTTAATCTGACTTAGAATCACAGAGTTGGAAGAGAGCTCGTGGGCCATCCTGTCCAACCCCCTGCCAAGAAGCAAGAAAATCGCATTCAAAGCATCCCCGACAGATGGCCATCCAGTCTCTGTTTAAAAGCCTCCAAAGAAGGAGCCTCCACCACACTCTGGGACAGAGAGTTCCACTGCTGAATGGCTCTCACAGTCAGGAAGTTCTTCCTCATCTTCACGTGGAATCTCCTTTCCTGTAGCTTGAAGCCATTGTTCCATGTCCTAGTCTCCAGGGCAGCAGAAAACAAGCTTGCTCCCTCCTCCCTAAGACTTCCTGTCTCATGCCATACATGGCCCTCCTCCCTATAACTCCCCCTCTCATATTTATATGTGGCCCTCATCGTGTCTCTTCTCAGCCTTTTCTTCTGCAGGCTAAACATGCCCAGCTCTTTAAGCCACTCCTCATAGGGCTTGTTCTCCAAACCCTCGATCATTTTAGTTGCCCTCTTCTGGACACATTCCAGCTTATTAACCTCTCCCTTCAATTGTGGTGCCCAGAATTGTGATTCCACAGTGTGATTCCAGGTGTGGTCTGACCAAGGTAGAATAGAGGGGTAATATGAATTTCTTGGATCTAGAGACTATATTCCTTTTTATGCAGGCCAAAATCCCATTGGCTTTTGTAGCTGTTGCAACACATTGTTGGCTCATGTTCACCTTCCTGTTCATGAGGACTCCAAGATCTTTTCCACGCATAGTGCTGTTGAGTCAGGTGTTCTCCATTCTGTATCTTTGCATTTAATTTTTTCTGCCTAAGTCTTGCATTTGTCCCTGTTGCACTTCATTTTGTTAGTTTTGGCCCATCTCTCTAATCTGTTAATATTGTTTTGATTTCTGCTCCTGTCTCCTAGAGTGCAACTCATGGCTTTCTTTTAAGGCTGAGAGAGTGTGACTTCTCCAATGTCAATCAATGGGTTTCTACATCTGAGTATAGATTACAACCCTCAGGCCCTAGATTCCTTGTCCTACATGCAGACCCCTAAGCCATGCTGGCTGTTCACACAACTGACAGATAGATGCATCTTCCTTTCTCCCAGATTTAACTTATTTTAACTCATTACATCTCAGATCATAACATTGATGATAAATTTTGCAAACAGTAATATATTTATATTAAAAACTAGCCAACAGACTAGCTGAAATTATTGTGAGTCCACTCTGGCCAAATGCAGATGTTTAGATCATATAAATGGCCAGATTTACACAGGAATTCAAACACAGAGTGGTATTGGAGGGGTATGAGAGTTTGTGTCTTGCTTCTCTTACGGTATATGTATGCTGTCTAAATGCTGAACCCATTTCCAGAATTATTATCATGAAACCACATTTTACTACGTCAAAATTTCAATGGCTTTTGTGGATGAAGTAGCTGCACCATTTTTGTTCCCTAAAGCAGGGGAACAAAACTTTATATGATTCATTGTGTCAGTCCGCATTTCACCAACTTGAGATTGTTGAGTGAATCATCCCCGGGATTGGGTGTTTTCCGTTACACTGCATAAGTGCTGGAAATTGTAGATAACACAGCAATGCTGCAAAATTCAGCTTTTTCAGCGTGGGATGGGGGAAACGCTGGATTTTCATTATATCATAGTAACCTGTGCTCCTCCAATGGTACTTTTACTAGTACCTGATGAACTAACCTGGACCTAGCATATTATTTGAGAACACAGAAATGCTGGACCACTCTAACAACCACCATGTCAGACTACACAGAGAAGCCATTGAAATCCACAAGCACGTGGACAATTTCAACAGAAAGGAAGAAACCACGAAAATGAACAAAATCTGGCTACCAGTATTTTTTTAAAAAAAAATCTAAAATTAAAACAGCAATTAAAGAACAACACTCAAACATAGGGGAACTCCAGACAAGAAACAATCAGGGACAACTAATCACCCCTCAACAAAGGATTCCCCCAGACAATAGCAAGATACACCTAAAAACTGTCAGGCCATCAAATGCTAATCAAGGTGGCTAATTGAATCATTCACACCTAGCTCCAACAGACAAGAATTCTTTCTCCCACCCTGGACATTCCACAGATATATAAACCCAATTTTCCTAGTTCCCAACAGACCTCACAACCTTTGAGGATTCTTGCCATAGATGCAGGTGAAACATCAGGAAAAAATGCTTCTGGAACATGGCCATATAGCCCGAAAATCTACAATAACCTAATATTAATAATAGTTGTTATTCTCACTTCCCCGATTTCCCAAAATTTCTAATCCTGCTGGTAGCAGCACCAAACAAGGTTAGGCAATTTCACAAGCCTATGACAGATAGAAGAATGTGCTGCATTTAGAGTTGCCAGAGTAAAAAGTGCTAAGGGCTCTTGCCATTTTAATAGTTGTGTAAATAGTTGCGAGGGAATTTTAGCAGGTGTTGCTTCTTACCTGAGTGTATAAGAGGGAACACCTCTTGAAATTCCCTCTTCTACACAACCAATAAGGAGCCCTCGGTGGCATAGCGGGTTAAACTGCAGAGCTGCAGAACTTGCTGACCAAAAGGTCAGTGATTCGAATCCAGGAAGTGGGTGAGCTCCCACTTTTAGCCCCAGCTTCTGCCAACATGCAAATGTGAGTAGATCAATAGGTACTTCTCCGGCAGGAATGAAATGGCGCTCCATGCAGTCATGCTGGCCATGTGACCTTGGAGGAGTCTACGGACAATGCCGGCTCCTCGGCTTAAAAATGGAGATGAGCACTACCACCCCAGAGTCAGACACGACTAGATTTAATGTCAGGAGAAACCTTTAGTTTTACCTTTACACAACCAGTAAACCCTGATACATTTTCTGAGCATGCTTCATTTTACCTGTAACAGGGAAATCCTAAAGGAAAGGGAGCCAAGGGACAAGGACTCCATGCTTTGAGATTTTAAAACTTCCACCAAAGGTAAAACCTTTTTTTCTTCCTTGGGGTGACGTTTGGTAGACTTGACATATACAGCATCAAAGGATTTTTCCCAATGCAACAATACAGAGGCATTGTAAGAGTTCTGTAAGAGTTCTGTAAGAACGGGCAGGTAGCCTCACCCAGGACGGAAACAGCCTGGATGTCACAGAAAGCTGCTCTTTCTATTGCTAATAAAATTTAAATTTCATTTCCTGGACTTGGCAACTTTTCGTCTTCTAGAGCTGGGTTTCTTAAACGTTTTCCACTTGTGGGACACATGGTCAAGGAAAGGAGTGGCCAATGCCTAGACGGACATCGCTCCAGATCAGGCATGGGCAAACTTCAGCCTTCCAGGTGTTTTAGACTTCAACTCCCACCATTCCTAACAGCCTCAGGCCCTTTCCTTTTCCCCCTCAGCTGCTTAAGCTGTTAGGAATTGTGGGAGTTGAAGTCCAAAACATCTGGAAGTCCGCTAGTCCATGCCTGCTCCAGATCATCTTAACTGACTACAACAAAAACAGCATCTTAACATATTGGCCTGTGATTCTGTCATGATTCTAACTCCTTTTTAACAACGTTGCCTCATGAAGAAGCCAGTGGAGCTTCAAAGCTCGCATCATGTCATTTTATGTATTTTTGCTGGTCCAATACAGATATTGCTGTTTAGTGGATTTCAGGTGCTACCGTAGGCATTATATTGTAAGCCCAACACAGGGACACCTGATCCAACCACCTTTAGAGGAACTCTTGTCCATTTGGAAACTAGCAACCCAAGTTGGATTGATCTCAGTAGATGTTGAATAGAGTATCCTGTATTTGAAATGCTACAGTTTTTACAATAAGAGGTACTAAACATGAATTATATTCCTATGGTTATAATTTATATCATTTTCTAAATTGTAGTATAATGGCATAGCTCCCCCCCCCCCCTCTCCATATATCAATAACCAGATATTTTAGAAATTGTGTTGTTGCGAATCACTGCATTGCCGTGAGTTTTCCAGGCTGTATGGCCATGTTCCAGAATCATTCCCTCCTGATGTTTCACCTACATCTATGGCAGGCATCCTCAGAGGTTGTGAGGTCTGTTGGAAACCAGGGCCAGCTAATCACCTCTCAACAAAGGAGGATGCCTGCCATAGATGTGGGTGAAATGTCAGGAGGGAATGCTTTTGGAACATGGTCATACAGCCTGGAAAATGCCCAGAAAACTCACAGCAACCCATTTTAGAAATTGATTTAAATCATAACTCTAAATCATTACTTTTAAAGTAACTTTCTAAGCTTTTATAGAATTAACGCCCATTCGGGTGACATTTTTAAGTACTTGGGGGGGGGGGGATAATTTGAAATTGGGTCTATTTGTTATTTGAGGTATTGGTTATGGAGAACCTTTTAGCTACAAAAACCAACCTAGGAAGAGCTGCCAAAAGAAGTGGTGTTTTTTTATCATCATCCAACAACATACAGATAGGTGAAGAAGACAAAGCGGGGCCGGAGGGAACACCACGTGTGTGATTCCAGGGTCCAGATTTCCCTCTTTGAATTTAATTTGAAAATACCACAGATGAGAATATATTGTCTGTATTGCCAAACTAGGGTTGCCAGATTAAAAACCAAAGGGGCCTCCTGTTCTGTCAGTGCTCCCGGTGGTGCAGTGGGTTAAACCCTTGTGCCAGCAGGACTGTTGACCGACAAGGGAAAGCAGGTTGAGTTCCCTCTGTCAGCTCCAGCTCCCCATGTGGGGACATGAAAGAAGCCTCCCACAAGGATGGCAAAACATCAAAAACATCTGGGCATCCTCTGGGCAACATCCTTGCAGATGGCCAATTTTCTCACACCAGAAGAGACTTGCAGTTTCTCAAGCCTCTCCTGACACACAAAAAAGTGGTTGGACAGAAGAGGGAATTCCAGCTGATGTTACCTGCTATTGCTTAGTTTGTGTGATGACAGGTGCTGAAATTCCTTCTACACAACCTTTAAAATGGCATAGCTGTCCTTTCCAGTTTTACCCTGGCAAACAGTGGATTATAAATGAACCTTTCTCTCTCACACACATATATGTATTAGTCACCACTTTATAATGCCTCCACCATTCCAGAGACATGGTTACAATTACAACAGCACAACAACAGAGAGGAAACAAACAAGGACATCTAATCACCTCTCAACAAAAGTTTTCTCGAGGCACTGTCAGGCCATTATATGCTAATCAAAGTGGTCAGTTGAAACATTCACACCTAGCTCCAGCAGATAAGAGTCCTTTGATCCACCCTGGTCATTCCACAGATATATAAACCCTTTTTCCTAGTTCCAACAGACCTCACTACCTCTGAGGATGCTTGCCATAGATGCAGGTGAAATGTCAGGAGGGAATGCCTCTAGACCATGGCCATATAGCCTGAAAAAACTACAACAACCCATTCCAGAGACAATTTATGAGTTCATCTCAAAGTGGATTATTTCATCCTACGATGTTACGACCTTGCTCCATCGTAAGGTTGGCTCTAACTTCAGTTTGCTGAAATAATCTCTTGGATAGGATCAATGGCTCTAAAAAGCATGGGCAGAAGTAGACCCCCAAATAGTGGTGTAACATCTCAGCATCATTACTGTGAGAGCTCTGAGGGACACGTGTCCGTTCTCTTAGAGGTGTTATAAAGCAATTGCAGAAAATACAAAACAAGAGGCGCCACCGTTGCTTCCAAAACAGCTCATCAAAGGTTAGGTGGATAAAAAAACTCAGGGTTGGGTGTGGAGGCCCTTTCACTTGGTTTTGCGGCATGGAAAAAATGACTCAAGAAAAATGACGATGGGCTTCCTTGTGGCTGTGCCACATGCTTTTCTTTAGCAGAGAAGACGTTAAGGGAGTTGACCAACAACCAATGGGGCTGGTGTCTTCTATGCCATTGGGTTGTAAACCAACTCTTAAATTTTATTCTCAGCTGGAAAGGAGGTATCCAAGGTCCTAAATTCCACCCCGGCAAGTTGGATAGTTCCACTAACATTTGGACTAAAACCAACAGAGACTCACCACCTTATTACCAGTGTCAATATGTATTGTCATCACCTATAAACCATTCTGGATTATGTGGATTGGGGAAACATAGGAGGAGAACCCAATAGAAGATTATCCTATGACCCTATATGAAGGTAAGAGCAGAAGCAGAACAAAAGGGGCAAAGAATTACTGGTGCCATTAAAACCAGGTAGTGCAGCCACAAGCTTCCCTTCCCCATAACAACAATATGGTTGCAGAAACTTGGGTGAAGTTCACCTGCTTCCAACACAGATGCATACAGAGCTAGGGGAATTTCTACTTAGCCATTTGCTAAATGTTAAAGATGATGGAGAGGCCAAAAACAAACAAACACCACTCTTTTTGAATTGTAATTCCCACCATTTGCCACCCAGCGTGGACAGTCCAATACCGTCCCCATTTCCCAGTCTCTGGAGGCAGATATGGATCTAACAGTAGACTTGTGTGGGTTAAACCCTTGTACCGGCAGGACTGAAGACCGACAGGTTGCAGGTTCGAATCAGGGGAGAACACGGATGAGCTCCCTCTGTCAGCTCTGGCTCCCCATGCGGGGACATGAGAGAAGCCTCCCACAAGGATGGTAAAACATCAAAGCAGCCAGGCATCCCCTGGGCAACGTCCTTGCAGATGGCCAGTTCTCTCACACCAGAAGCGACTTGCAGTTTCTCAAGTCACTCCTGACACAGAAAAAAATAGATTTGTGAGAATGTTTTTATTGCCTTTTTTTGTTAAGAGCTTCCAGACAGGTGCTCTTTTCTAGTTAAGGAAATTGTTGAGCAGTCTTTTTCTGTAGAAGGACTCTAAGTTCCATCATTTCTAATATTGTCAGAACAAACTCCTGAACTCGGAGCGATGGCTTAATTCTAAGGATGTTATCTCGGGCTCCAAGCTCTGGATCTTGGGATTCTAGGAAATAGAAACTAGATCCTTTAGGTCCAAAGCTGCTCTACATGCTGGCTAGTTGATAATGCAAGATAAGCCCAAGACATTTTGCTATTTGAAGAACAGCCCAAATCCAGTCCCCAACTAGACTAAATACTTAAAAACATCTGGCTCCTACCTTGATCCGTTTCCTTCACCATGTTGAATGGCAAAGCTGGTGGAGCATAAATAAATATGGTTGTGTACTATCACACAACTTTCTCTTTCTGTTGTCCCAAACGAGTTGTGCATGATATGCTGGAAGCTTTCCCCTTCTAGAGCCCTCTGGAGGTTTAGGACTACAAAGCCCATCAACCACAGATGGGGAAAACGTATGATTTAAACCACAGTTCATAGAATCATAGATTCACAGAATCATAGAGTTGGAAGAGACCTTATGGGCCATCCAGTCCAACCCCCTGCAAAGAAGCAAGAACACTGCATTCAAAGCACCCCTGACAGATGGCCATCCAGCCTCTGTTTAAAAGCCTCCAAAGAAGTAGCCTCTTCCTAATGTTCAGGAGGAATCTCCTTTCTGTAGTTTGAAGCCTTGTTCCACATCCTAGTCTCCAGGGCAGCAGAAGACAAGCTTGCTCCCTCTTCCCTATGACTTCCCCTCACAAGGCTGAGAGGATACATGGCTATCATGTCTCCTCTCAGCCTTCTCTTCTGCAGGCTAAACATGCCCAGCTCTTTAAGCCGCTCCTCATAGGACCCGTTCCCCAGACCCTTGATCATTTTAGTTGTCCTCCTCTGGACACATCCCAGCTTATCAACATCTCCCTTCAATTGTGGTGCCCAGAATTAGACACAGTAGTCCAGGTGTGGAATCATCATCACATTGTTTCTTCTGCAGGCTAAACATGGCCAGCTCTTTAAGCTCTTTCATATACTTAATCAACCTAGAGTAGTCAATAAGCATGCATTCAATTCTCTCCCATGCTAACCTACCTCACAAGATGGTTGTGAGGTTAAAATGAACCCCCCCCCCCCCCCCCCCCCCCCGCCTACTTTTTGTTCCTGGGAGAAGAGATAGAATGGACATGCGGTGAAATACAGTTCCAAAAAACATATCCATTTCTCTCTGCTCTGCAATCACCCCATTCTGTTTCCAAACAATTGCCCTGCTATATAACTATATTCCGTTGGGGTATTCCCACCCACTGATGCCCCATTCCATTGTACCTTTGGCCTGGATGGCTTCAAGCAAGCGTGCTGTGTCCAAGTTCTAGGTGCGATGGCTTGGTTTATTCCTGACCAGTTTTTTGTCTGGCTAGGCAGGAAGGAGTGAACGAAACTGAGAAGGTGGTGGCGGTGGAGAAATACTGAAAAAAAGAAGAAGATGCAACCGTTAAGCTCAGAGAGGAAGTGGCTTTGTGGGGTGGCTACATTGTTGTATTCCACCCATTTTTCAAAATCAGGTTGGGGGAAGCAGACCTGGGGGGGGGGGGRATGCTGAGATGCCTACTTGGAACTGAAATGATGCTATACACACAGAGGCACACATGTACACGTGTCTGCACCAGGATTTATCTCCAGCACAGATGAAGAAATAGGGAGTGTGTCTGACCTGATGCAGAGTGCAGTTTCCCCCCACTAGTACGAGGGGCATTCATTAAAGATTTCCCCTGGCCCACTTCCTGTGGACTGCGAGCAATGAAACTTGGCACAGTTTTTAGTCCTTCTCTACGTTGGTGCCACCAAGGGACACACACGTCTCCCATCTTTTTAAGCAACTGTAAACACCTCACTTGTAGAAGTCATCAGGTTGCTCCAAGGACCAGGCTGTGGCACAGCTGGTTAGTAGCCAGCTGCATTAAATCACTACTGACCAAGAGGTCATGAGTTCGAAACCAGCCCGGGTCAGAGTAAGCTCCCGACCATTAATAGTCTAGTGTAGGAAATTTAGGTACTGCTTTATGTGGGGAGGCTAATTCAACAAATTTACAACATCATACAAACCTTCCAGCAGTGTGCGTAAGAATGAGGAAGGACTCCATCAAGGACTCAGTGTCACAAGTGGACGGTGAAGCGACAGCTTCCCCCCTGTAGCTGCAATTGAGCATGCCCTCATGATGCCGGAAAGCTGGAATGTTAAATTGCCTCTGTGTCTGTCTATATATGTTGTACATCTATGGCATTGAATGTTTGCTATGTATATGTGCATTGCAATCTGCCCTGACTCTGCGGAGTAAGAAGGGCGGAATATAAATACTGTAAATAAATAAATAATAAATAAGCCACGTTGTGACTTCGGAAATCAGAATCTCATCATCTGAAAAATGCTTGCCCTTCAAAAATAACTTCATTGTTTATTTATTTAAAACTTTTATATCCTGATCTTCTCAACCTCCTTAGAGGGACTCAGAGATGGATGTCCAATGGTGCGAGATCGGGTGAATAAAGGGGATGCCACAGGAGCATGCTTTTTCCATTTGGGCAACGGATGAGTTGTGAACTGTTGCATTGTCTTGCAGATGGTAGACGCCTTTGGTGAGCATGCCACGTCTCTTGGTTTTGATGGCCTCCCACAATTTCCGCGTCAGTGAAACATCATATGCCCCAGTGATCATGGTACCCTTTGCTAAGAAATGCATCAATAGTACTCAGTGCTGATCTCAAAATACTGTGAGCATGAGAGCATGACCTTGCCTGCCAAGAGTTAGGCACGTGCCTTCTTTGAAGGCGGCGAGTCATGATGCTTCCATTGTGTCGACTGGACTTTAATCTCAAGATCATAGTGATGGACCCAGCTTTCATCCTGCGTGATCAGTCTGTTGAAAAAATCCTCCTAATTTCCAGGGCACATCGTTATTAGAGCCTGAGAGCATTCAATTTGTTCCTATTTCTGGAAAGGCGTGAGCAGTCGGGGGACCCAGCAAGCGGATATCTTATGCATGTGAAGATGGTCTTGGATGATTTTTTCCCAAAATGTCACTAATCTTGACATTTTGAGCTAGGTGGTGAATGGTTACATGGCGATTTTCCAAAATCGCGACTTCCACATGCTGGATGGTTTGTTCATCAATGGCAGAGTGGGATCACCCTGGAATTGGAGCTGTTTCCACCAAAGTACAATCACATTTGAATTTATGATGCCAGGTCTTGACTACATCATATGCTGGGGAATTATCACCATAAACCTCTTTCATCCCATTGAACTTCTCCTTTGGTGTGCAGCCTTTCAAGGAAAGGAACTTGATGACTGCTCTGATTCCTCTGAGCCCATTATCAAACCTCACACCACTTTGGCACCCAGGGGCGGCTCAACCCATTATGCAAAGTAAGCATTTGCAATATAGTTGATTTTGCCCAGGGGCGCTCTTGAGGCGCTCTTGGGGGAAAATACATCTTGACATATGTGAGTTGTAGTTACTGGGATGTATAGTTCACCTAAAATCAAAGAGCATTCTGAACTCCACCAATGATGGAATTGAACCAAATATGGCACACAGAACTCCCACGACGAACAGAATATATATATCAGTGATTGCTTGGGGGGGGGGGGGATACTGTTTGCTTACCATTGAAAATTACCTAGGGCTGCCTCTGTCAGCAATTGTAAAGTCAAGACCATTATCAGTTCTGGGTTGTACATTGGCAAGTAACCTATACAGATTTATATCATTACACACGTGCAGTTTCAGCATCCGGTGACAAATAGAAGTGGGTCAAGGGAAATCTTTAATGAACAACCCCACGTACAACCACCTTTACCCAAATCTCTTGCATCCATAAGAGAGGACATGCAACTTCATAGCTGCAGAGGGGTAATACTTTTGCTGTTTATTCCTTTCTTAAAGGACTCCCACACCATTAAATAGCGAAAATTCAACAGGCCTCCCCTTCATGCCAAAATATATAGAAGGTAAAAGAACAGGAGGGAAGAACCTCAGGATGGAAGTAAATATTATGACAAAGCATGCAAATGCCAGCAAAAGTTTTTTAAATCCAAAAGCAACTATTGAGTGGGGAGGGGAAACAAGCATACATGGAATTAAATAAGCAAGAAAAATTGGGGGTTCCACCTTACCGAGCAAAGACTTCTTGCTGTAGATATGGCGAAAACTTGCCTTCACGTCTGTGACTAGGATGCACCCATTAAATTAAATGAAACCTTCTCAAAATGTCCAAGCTCTTATCTCTCCCCACCAGCTGTTCCTATTGCCCATTTACCATTCAACTCAAACCTGAGTTCTTCTCGATTAATCTGGTGTTTATCACTGAGTAGACAATCTACATTCTTAGTTGTGGCTTCCAGATATTAACCAGTTGAGATCCATCCATACATTTGGAAAGTCAATCTTTGGATATAGAGCTTTTAAAGATCCACTGATAGATGTCTAAATGTTAAAAATGGATTTTGCTTGATTCCTTAGCTGTTGCTTTGTTTCCTTTCCCATGAGTCTTTACAAAGTTTGATGGTTGTGTTACATCATATCTTGCTTTAAATTGTTGCAAATTTTGTATTCCTTAAGCAAATTCTATAAGTAAAGGTAAAGGTTTCCCATGACATTAAGTCTAGTTGTGTCCGACTCTGGAAGGTGGTGCTCATCTCCATTTCTAAGCCGAAGAACTGGCGCTGTCCGTAGACACCTCCAAGGTCATATGACCACCATGACTGCATGAAGCATCATTACCTTCCCGCAGAAGCGGTATTTATTGATCTATTCACATTTGCATGTCTTTGAACTGCTAGATGGTCAGAAACTGGGGCTAACAGAGGGAGCTCACCCTGCTCCCTGGATTCAAACTGCCAACCTTTTGCTCAGCAGCTCAGTGGTTTAACCCACTGTGACACCAGGTGGCAAATTCTATAGAGTTGGACTAATCCAACATTAAACTGTAGTCAGGAGGCATTAATGAGGACGAACACATCACCTGTGAGAGTTGGCAAGAGATTGTTTTTGCAAGAGTTTCCTGGGAAAAGCAAAAATACTCTCTCTTTTTTCACTCTCCTGCTGAGTTCATTGAGTGCAAACTACTTTTGCCTTTTGAACTCAGGTTAACACAGCTGAAGTAAACTGAAGGATAAAGGGAAGGAAAAGACAGGAACTGGGGCATTTAAAATGCTGGAAATGACAGAAGAGTCCATTGAAACTGTTCCTGCCAAATTGGGAGTGTTGGAGGGTCCGTTTTTACTTGGGTATGTGCCCCCAGTGGTGCAGTGGGTTAAACCGCTGAGCTGCTGAACTTGCTGACTGAAAGGTCAGCGTTTCAAATCTGGGGAGTGGGGTGAGCTCCCACTGTTAGCCCCAGCTTCTGCCAACCTAGCAGTTCAGAAATATTCAAATGTGAGTAGATCAATAGGTAACGTTTCTGCGGGAAGGTAACAGCACTCTATGCAGTCATGCTAACCACAAGACCTTAGAGGTGTCTATGGATAACGCCGACTCTTTGGCCTAGACCTGAAGATAAGATCGTGCCTGAGTTGGACACGACTAGACTTAATGTCATGGGAAACATTTGCCTTTACTATATATGCTTTCTCAACACATCCTGAAAAAATTCTTATTATTACTGCAATACTACATTTCCTCAAAACAAAGACACACCTTTTCCCTATATAAACGTCCGTAAAAATGGTGTGTGCCTTAAAATCTTGAATGCATTTTATATAGGTAAAGGTAAAGGTTTTCCCTTGACAATAAGTCCAGTCGTGTCTGACTGGGGGTTGGTGCTCATCTCCATTTCTAAGCCAAAGAGCCGGCGCTGTCCATAGATGCCTCCAAGGTCATGTGGCCAGCATGACTGCATGGAGCGCTGTTACCTTCCCGTAGAAGCGGTATCTATTGATCTACTCACATTTGCATGATTTCCAACTGCTAACTTGGCAAAAGCTGGGGCTGACAGCGGAAGCTTACGCTGTTCCCTGGATTCGAACCTGCGACCTTTCAGTCAACAAGTTTAGCAGCTCAGCAGTTTAACCCGCTGCACCATTTTATATATCTATATATAAATCAGGACTTTTTTGTATTAGTGGTAGTGAATTTAGTGTGCATCCTAAGATGGTGTCTTAGAATCCAAGAAATATGGTATTTTGCAACCCTAGTATCGACCTGCATCCCTAGAACAGGCTTGGGGTTGCCAGAGCCATAACTGTAGTGAGGTCTTGCACTTCTTATAGTTGTGTAGAAAGGGGGATTTCAGCAGGTGTCGCTTGTTGACGTCTTGCATGACAAACATCCTGGCTGAAATTCTCTCTTGTACACAATCATTAAAGGTACCAAAATTCTCTTCAGTTCTCTATCTCTCAATTCTAGCAGAGTTAATTGAATTTAGGAATGCCAACTTCTATAAAATCTTTCAGCTCTTTAATAATGCCTTTCTCCCCCCCGCCCCCCCGTGGGTTACTAAAATAACTGTTATTGCCACCTTCCCACAACTTCAGTTCTCAGCTACCCAGGGAAACTGATATGCCACAGAGGAGAGGCATGTGGTGTGGCACTTGAAAGGAGGAACACACGTGTCACCTCCTTAATCTTGGCATGCCAGGAGGTTGAAACCGTTACAGCCAGGGGAGAGGAACAGGAAGAAATGAAACTTACCAGGCACAAGCAAGCTGCCAGGCAATTGGGGATAGTCTGATAACAGTCTATACCCACCCGTTGGCGCAGGAAGGGTTGGGCCACAGAAGCAGCCAATTGATTTGGGGACATATAAGCAAACCTTGATTTTGCCATTTTATGTAACACCATATACATATGCCCCTTCCCCCAGCACCAACTACTGCTCTGGGACCAGGGTGAAGAGAGGGGGCCAGGAAGACAGTTCCACTTTGTCTCGGGCACTGTGCTAATATTATAATCTATATAAATAAAAATGTATTGTTTGTTTGTGGGATTAACATAACTCAAAAACCACTGGACAAATTGACACCAAATTCAGACATAACACACCCATCAGGCCAACAAGTGATCATCACTCATGAAAACACTGAAAAACACAACGGAAGGGACTTAAAAAGCAAGAAAAGCAAAAAGATGCTACAGCGCATTTGCAAAAAACAACTCCCCCTGGCAAACAAAACACACAACAGCAGATCCACACTCTCTTCCGGACTACAGCTCCCAGTATCCCCTAGACTTGATGCTTTAGAAGAGGAGGAGGATGCAAATGCACTGCTTCCAAGCTCCAAGCTGTCTTCTCCTTGGATTCCTTTGCGAGCATCCTAATCCCTGCATATTTTCAATTTCCTATTCCTGGACTGCAACTCTCAGCAAGCCCCCAGGTAGATAATATAGATAGATAGATGTTAAATAGGTAGATAAGTACATAGATAGATTGATCAGGAGGACTGCTGGGAGTTGCAGTCCAAGAATAGGTACAGAAGGAAGAAAGAGGAGAAAGAGGAAGGGAAAGAAAAGGGGGGAAGGAAGGGAAGAGGAAGACAAGGAGAGAATGAAAGAAAAAAGTGAAGGAGAAAGAAAGGAGGAGAGGAAGAGGGAGGGAAGGTTGGCCACAGTAATGCATGGCAGGTACAGCTAGTATAATAATATAATATAATATAATATAATATAATATAATATAATATAATATAATATAATATAATATAATATGCATACATATAATCTTGATAATATTATAATGTAATACTATAATGCTGCTATTAATAATACGATATTATAATTATTATAATTAAATATTTTATATTACATGTAATATTATTAATAATATTACAGTATAATGGTATAGTACAATATAGGTAAAGTTAAAGGTTTTCCTCTGACATTAAGTCCAGTTGTGTCCGACTCTGGGGTGTGGTGCTCATATCCATTTCTAAGCAGAAGAGCCGGCATTGTCCATAGACACCTTCAAGGTCATGTGGCTAGCATGACCGCATGGAGCGCCGTTACCTTCTCGCCAGAGTGGTACCTATTGATCTACTCACATTTGCATGTTTTCGAACTGCTAGGTTGGCAGAAGCTGGGGCTGACAGCGGGAGCACACGCCGCTCTCCGCATTCGAACTTGTGACTTTTAGGTCAATAAGATCAGCAGCTCGGTGCTTTAACCCCTGTGATACTGGGGGCTCCATAATACAATATAGTAATACAGTGGCGCAGTGGGTTAAACAACTGAGCTGCTAAACTTGTTGACCGAAAGGTTGCAGGTTGGAATCCGGGGAGCGGTGTAAGCTTTTGTTGTCAGCCCCAGCTTCTGCCAACCTAGCAGTAGATCAATAGATGAGTAGCTCAATAGATACCGCTCCGGCGGGAAGGTAATGGCACTCCATGCAGTCATGTTGGCCACATGACCTTGGAGGTGTCTACAGACAACACTGGCTCTTCGTCTTAGAAATGGAGATGACCACCACAGCCCAGAGTCGGACATTACTGGACATAATGTCAGGGGAAACCTTTACCTAAAGGTTTCCCCTGACATTAAGTCTAGTCGCGTCCGACTCCAGGATGTGGTGCTCATTTCCATTTCTAAGCCAAAGAGTGGGGATTGTGTATAGACACCTCCAAGGTCATGTGGCTGGCATGACTGCATGGAGTGCCACTACCTTTCTGCAGAAGTGGTACCTAATCATCTCCTCACATTTGCATGTTTTCGAACTGCTAGGTTGGCAGAAGCTGTGGCTAACAGCAGGAGCTCACCTCGCTCCCTGAATTCAAACCATCAACCTTTCAGTCAGCAAGTTGAGCAACTCAGTGGTTTAACCCGCTCCGCCACCAGGGGACACGTTTACATGATACAATTACCACAATATGGTTCCACTTGAATTTCAAAGCCTGCGTCCTATAGAATGCTGGGATTTCTAGTCTGATGAGACACTAGATCTCTCTGGCTGAGAATTGTAATTGCCAGTCCCAGAAATCCACAGGATGGAACCATGGCAATCATGATGCTTTTAATTGTATATGTGAGAGGGGCCCTGATGTCAACATCTAACCCAGGCATGGGCAAACTTCGACCCTCCAGGTGTTTTGGACTTCAACACCCACAATTCCTTTCTTTCCCCCCCTCAGCCTGAAGTCCAAAACACCTGGAGAGCCGAAGTTTGCCTATGCCTGATCTAAACTGACATTATCATGATAAGACCCCCAGAGACAATAACAATAATTAGGCTGGCCAGGCATGTACATAATTACATGTGCCCACGTTATGTTTTTTATGTATGACTTTTTTTACAACCATTTTATACAACAGTTTTCAGAACCATTTTGACAAAAACATAAACTACAAAACTACATATTCTGAAAGTTGTGTATTTTTTATTTATTTAGTGGATTATAACTTTATAATTTTCTTTTTTAATAGTCTTTATTGAGAGTTTTCATTAAAATACATTAAAAATAAAATCAACATTCAACTGAGGAAGAGAAAGAAATACACAGAAAGAGAAGAAGAAGAAAAAGAAAAAATAGAAAAGAAAGACCCACAAACAACAAAGGGAATTTTATTGACTTCCCAAATATCTTTAGTGAGGTTTCTTCCTTTTCATTCTTTATTATTTTCTAGTGAAATAATTTTTTTAAAAGAAATAATCCTTCTGTTTGGATAAAATAATGAAGTGCCGTGAGGTTCTTCATTACAGTCTTTGTGCAAAATACTCTGTTCCTAATGCAGAATATCAATGTATTTTGTGCATAGGTAAGAATGTTTGCAGGAACCATATTTTCTATGTTTTAGACACACACGCGCACACATATAAATCATACATATTTTTGAGGATTCAGTCAAAATAGTTCTCAAAGGCACAAAATAAAAATATGGTGCAGTGAAGCAAACATTGAGGGAATTATTCTGTGAGAAAGAGAAATACAGAGATTTGCATCCCTCTTCTGTCCTAGTAACAAAATATTCCTCCTGTTATAATAGAAACATTCTGAGAAAGAATAAAAATTCAATAATAAATACATTAGAAGCCCCTACAAATAAAAGATACATTTTTAATTACAGAACTTACTCAAGCTAAGTCAACCACCCCTTTGGCCCAACTATGCACATCAACAGTAGGCCCTCCACATTTGCTGAAGTTAGGGGAGCAAAACCCCCATGAAGGGTTAGAAGGCATGCTCATCAAGTTTGGAGACGGCACCAAATTGGGAAGGATAGCGAATACTCCAGAAGACAGGAGCAGAATTCAAAACGATCTCAACAGATTAGAGGGATGATTGGCCAAAATTAACAAAATGAAATTCAACAGAGACAAATGCAAAATACTCCACTTAGGCAAAGATACAGAATGAAAAATGAAATGTAAAGAAACAGAATGGGGGATGCCTGGCTCGATATCGGTACATGTGAAAAAGATCTTGGAGTCCTCGTGGGGAACAAATTAAACATGAGCCAACAATGTGATGCGGCATAAATAGGAGCCCAGTGTCTAGATCCAGGGAAGTGATGCTACCCCTCTATTCTGCCTTGGTCAGACTCACACTTTGTCCAGTTCTGGACACCACAATTTAAGGGAGATGTTGACAAGCTGGAATGTGTCCAGAGGAGGGTGACGCAAAGGATCAAGGGTCTGGAGAATAAGCCCTATGAGGAGTGGCTTAAAGAGCTGGGCATGTTTAGCCTCCAGAAGAGAAGGCTGAAAGGAGACATGTTTAAATATGTGAGGGAATGTCATAGGGAGGGAGCAAGCTTGTTTTCTGCTTCTGTGGAGACTAGGATGTGGAATAGTGACTTCAAACTACAGGAAAAGAGATTCCACCTGAACATGAGGAAGAACTTCCTGACTGTGAGAGCCGTTCAGCAGTGGAACTCTCCGCCCTGGAATGTGGTGGAGGCTCCTTCTTTGGAGGCTTTTAAGCAGAGGCTGGATGGCCATCTGTCGGGGGTGCATTGAATGTGATTTTCCTGCTTCTTGGCAGGGGGTTGGACTGGATGGCCCATGAGGTCTCTTCCAACTCTATGATTCTATGAAAATAGAAAAATGCTGGTTGCTGGATAAATGTAGTTTCTGCTTGCTTGAGAATTACTATTAAAAATAGACCTAACCAATACAATATCCCATACTATACTATACTATACTATACTATACTATACTATACTATACTATACTATACTATAAACTCTGTATTGACTTGATATTAATACTGAAATACGGCAATTAAAAGAAAATAAAGACAAGCTTAACTTAAACAGACATTTCTGCTAAAAATGGTTTTGTTTTAGTTTTTATTTAAAGTATTTTTCCTCAATTTCTTTGCCAGTTGCTTGAGCGTTCCAGTCGCTTGAGTTCTGGCTACAGTTTTAGCATTGTACAGGCCACCAAAATCTTTTAGCCTTCACAAATTCAGGAAGCAAAGATGAGAGGGAAAAGTAGAGTAAGGTCTTGAGCACTTTAAACTCATTGAGGCACAGTCCTAAGTACCCCGCTGACTGTGCCGAAAAAACCCAGCCAGGTCCTGCAAAGTAACCCGTGGCTGGACCCCCCATGTTGGTTCATCATGGTCCCAAAGAGGGGAAGAACTGCTTGGGCTGGATGCTTCCTGCTGGAGGTCAACAAGAGAGTCACAACCCCTTGGTTCTGGGGAAACATCCAGAAACCAGTCATTGGAACGCTGGATCCAAAGTGGGACCGTTTCCGACTGCCTCGAGAGAACATCTGGCTCTGCACGATTCCGGCTCGGCTCTATCCACAAGGTCCCACCTTGCCTCCAGACAGATGGTACTGGCTTTCTTTTGTGGGGCAGGTACCCACGGAGAACCCGTTCACAGAGGATGGCGGAGATCACCATGAAGACACCCGCAACGAGGGCCAGGCAGGTCATGGCCAGCAAACAGTTGCTGCACTCACTGAGCAGAGAGGCATCAGAGGGAGGAGGCATCGCAACATCTGTACGGGGCTCCAATGCGGAGGAAGATTGGGCCAGATCAAAGCTGGATCTGGAGCTCCAATGGTTTAGTCAGCTGAATGCTGTGAAGGGGAAACATCAAACATAGGCAAATGTAATTATGGACTAAGCTTTCCTCATGATACCTGTTGAGCATCCTTCATCTGGGTATCCAAAATACCACATTCATGGTTTTGACTTTTGTGGGTTTGCTAATTCATGGATTTGAATAATCTAGGTCCTCCAGTGTGACTTTATGGTGAACTTGCTCCTGTCATGCAGGAGGAGTAGAGATTTGTAGAGAAAAAAACTTCTCTAAGAATCTCTAAGGTCTTCCAACAAGACCCATTGGTCAACTTGTCCCAGTCATATTGAAGAACATTTCTGGAGAGAACACTTCTTTAGGAATCTCTAAGGTCCTCCAACATGATCTTATGTTCAACTTGTTCCAGTCATACTGAAGAACAGAGATTTCTGGAAAGAACACTTCTTTAGGAATCTTTAAGGTCCTCCAACATGACCCAATGGTCAACTTGTTCCAGTCATACTGAAGAACATAGAGATTTCTGGAGAGAACACTTCTTTAGAAATCTCTAAAGTCCTCCAACATGACCCAAGGGTGAACTTGTTCCAGTCATACTGAAGAACATTTCTGGAGAGAACATCTCTAAGAATCTCTAGGTATTCCAAAACAATTTTATGATCAGCGTCCAGGGAAAGTTGACAATTGAGTTATACTAGAAAACCTAGAAATTCCTAGAGAAGTGTTCTCTTGGGTAAAATTAGCCATTTCTTTATTTGCATTTTTTTCACTTTTATAGAGGATCTGTGCCCCTAATCTCAACAAATATGGAGGACTGGCTATACTCCAAAATCCAAAATTGTCCACACATGTGGCTGAAACAGTGATACCGTTGCTTTCTGATGGTTCAATGTACACACACTTTCATTTCAGGCACAACAGTCTTTAAAATAATCTTCAGGTTATGTGTATAAAGTGTATATGAAACTGAAATAAGTTTCATGTTTAGACTTGAGTCCCACCTCCAAGATTAGTAATTATGTACATGTATGTAAATACAATGATTTGGACCCAGTCTCCTCCTATGAATCTATATGAGCTGTGAGATCATCAGGAGAGGCCCTACTCTCGATCCCACCATCTTCCCAAGTGTGATTGGTGGGATCAAGAGAGAAGGCCTTTTCGGTGGTTGCCCCGCATCTCTGGAACTCCCTTCCTAAAGAAGTTAAAATTTCTCATTCTCTGCTAATGTTTAGGAATTAAGTAAAAACTTTCGTTTGGAAACAGGCCTCCCCTGAAGGAGAACAGAGTACTGAAAATGCTAGCTCTATACAGTGTGCAATTTTTGAGCTGTAACGGACCTCCAGCAATGGACCTGACTAGGGCCTAAATGAATTGATACCAGATGGGGTTTTATTTTATTGAATGTTTAATTGTGTTCTTTGTTAGTCACTAATTATTTTGATGTCAGTTTTTATAATTGTTATTAGATATAACTATGTTTATGATGGCCCTCTCTACTTTTATTGTATGTTATATTTTTGCTTTTGAGATGTTGTTCGCTACTTTGAGTCCCGAGCCAGGAGAAAAGCAGGATATAAATAAATAAATACAGATATTCCAAAATCTGTAAAAGTCTAAAATCCCAAACACTTCTTATCGCAAGCATTTTGGATAAGGGATACTCAACCTTTATTGTAAGTCGATAGAAGTGAGGTGAAATTCGGTAAAACGAGTCCAAATAAACAGAAAGCCATCATCATAATTTTTAAATATTGTGTCATCACTGTATGTGGGGCTTTGCAAATAAAACAACAAAGCAGTTCCCCCTTACAATCAAAGATCAAAATAATTATGCAACTTTGCAATTATCTATATAAATAAAAATGTAATATTCGTTTGTGGGATTAACATAACTCAAAAACACTGGACGAATTGACACCAAATTTGGACACAATACATCTATCAGGCCAATGAGTGACCATCACTCATAAAAATACTGAAAAACACAGCATAAGAGACTTAACACCCCCCCCCCCCAAAACCCATTACAATGCATGCAGAAAACCACACACACACACATATATATGCAAACACACATATACAAGACACATATACACAGACTGGACCACAGCAACGCATGGCAGGGGATGGCTAAGATATTTTTATCTATCTTAGCTGAGGATGGTGACCAAGATCAGCATGATTTTGGTCAATCCTGCTCCTTTCTTTTTTTAAATCACCTTGAAATCCTTTCCTTCTTGCTTCTCTTTGCAATCACATTGGCTTAAAGAAGTACAAGTTTCAATATGAAATCTGAAGGATGATGAATTGACCTGAATTCTACTCCTATCAGCACATTATACCTGTTTTGCTCAACCTGTTGGTCTCCATATGTGTTCGGACTGGAATGATGGGAACTGGCCAGGAATGATGGGAACTGTAGAAGCAAAATACAATGAGGAGGAGACTGGTTAGCAACTGACTACTTCAAATTCCCTACAGAAGTATTGGAACTACATCTCCCATCACCAGAGAGCAAGCACTGGTTATATGATGATGGGAGTTGTAGTCCAAACCCTTGGAGGGGAAGACCAGGCTGGGCAAAACCAAAGCGGAATATGATGTTGGGGTGTCACTTTGAGAGATGTAGTCATGAGGCACCTGAGGAATGTATTGAAAGCCATGAAAATGCATTCTTATGTTTGGCCTCCCTTTCCTAATGCTATGACAGGCTAATGCGTCTGTTTCTGTGAAAAATGCTATATCTTTTTGTTAAAAAAAACCACAACAACCCTATGGTAGACAGTAACAGGATGCAGTCTCAAAGCACGCCCCTTCCTTTGTGGTGTTGTGTTGTCAACAGCTAAGTTACTCCCATCAAAAAGGTTGATTGCAATAAAGCAGTTTCCTAGGGCTGCCAGATTGAAAACTAGAGCCTGCTCCTGTAATTTTACTAATTGTGTAGAGGAAAGGTTTCAGCACTCAATTGTTCATCATGCAACCAAGCAACACTAGAAGTTCCCTCTTGTTGTTGTTGTGTGACTTCAAGTCATCTGTACACATAATAAAAGTGAAAATACATATGTGCATGTATGGCTGGGGTGTCCACTTACACAAACAAGCTCCTGTCTGCACAAACAGCCATAGCTCCTACTAGTCAAGAGACACCAATGGCACTCCCTCTAATGTCACTGCAGGTTATAGCGAGCGCCATGAACATGTACAACAGCCCTGCCGATGTCCTCCACAAACACCATACTACCCACCACCCAAGTGAAGGCTTTCATACGAGGACAAATTCATCCCAGTATTCCTTATTCTCTCATTTGGTGTGGCATTTGCATGACCCCGTCCACTGTCTCTTCCTTAAGCCTTTCCTATTCTTTTCTATGCAAACACACATTGATCAGCAACTGAACATACTAGAGAAGTTTGGGGAGAATTCACCATGATTTACAGGAGTTGTAGGTACTGGGATGTACATTTCACCTCCAATCTCAGAGAATTATGAACTCCACCAACAATGGACCTGGAACTAACTTGGTACACAGAACTCCCATGACCAACAAAAAATACTGGAGATCTTTGGAGGGATTTACAGGAGTTGTCGTTCACCTACATTCAGAACACAATATGAACGTAAACAATGATGGATGTGGACCAAACCTGGCATTCATACTCAATACACCCAAATTTGAATACCGATGAGTTTTGAGAGGAGTTGGCCTGGACATTTTGGAGTTGTAGGTACTGGGATTTATAGCTCACATGCAATCTGAACTCCACCAAAGATGGAATTGGACCAAATTTGGCACACAGAATCCCCATGACCAGCAAAAAATACTGGAGGTCTTTGGGGAAAATTCACCTTGATTTGGGGGAGCTGTAGTTCACCTACATCCTGAAAGCACTGTGAATCCAAACACCAATGGATCTGGACCAAACTTGGCTCACATACCTGATATGTTGAAATTTAATTACTGAAGGGGTTTGGGGAAAACTGACCTTCCTTTCTGGGACTTGTAGTTCGCCCACAACCAGAGAAACGGTGACCTTCTTACTACCTCTGATGATGCCTGCCATAGAATCAGGTAAACATGGCCATACAGCCCGGAAAACTCACAACCCACATACTGAAGTTCCTTCTTGTGTAGAGGTTTGAGCGTTGAAATATGACTCTCTAAAGACCTGGGTTCAAATTCCCACCCAGTTATGGAAACACACTGGGTGACACTGGGCGAGTGGCACACTCTCAGCCCCAGTAGAGTCCCCAGTGGTAGGTAAAGGTAAAGGTAGTCCCCTGACATTAAGTCCAGTCATGTCTGACTCTGGGGTGTGGTGCTCATCTCCATTTCTAAGCCGAAGAGCCAGCGTTGTCCGTAGACACCTCCAAGGTCATGTGGCCGGCATGACTGCATGGAGCGCCGTTACCTTCCCGCCGGAGCGGTACCTATTGATCTACTCACATTTGCATGTTTTCGAACTGCTAGGTTGGCAGAAGCTAGGGCTGACAGCGGAAGCTCACGCCGCTCCCCGGAATCGAACCTGCGACTTTTCGATCAACAAGCTCAGCAGCTCAGTGCTTTAACCCACTGCGCCACCGGGGGCTCCCCAGTGGTACAGTGGGTTAAATCCTTGTGCTGGCAGGACTGCTGACTGAAAGTTCAGCGGGGTGAGCTCCCATCTGTCAGCTCCAGCTTCCCATGTGGGGATATGAAAGAAGCCTCCTAGAGGATGGTAAAACATCTGGGCGTCCCTTGGGTAACATCTTTCCAGATGTCCAATTCTCTCACACCAGAAGCGACTTGCAGTTTCTCAAGTTGCACCTGACACGAAAAAAGCCCCAAAAATATTGCAATAGGACTATCTTAGGGAAACAACTTGAAGGCACCCAACAACACCACACCCAACAATTAAAGGTATGTTTCTTATTTTTAATCTGGAACCCTAGCTGTAATGGAGAGGAAAGGGAGAGTAAATGCTCACCTCCAGTATGTTTAAGGCAATTCTATTCCCTGGTTTTTGAATCCCGAAAGGCGCGTGCAGTTCTGCTTTTGGGAGCCTCCTGGATAAAGTCGAAATTGGTTCATCTTTTGACAACAGTGGGGTGGGGGGGGGGGGGAAGGATGTGGTGGGAGAAACGCAGAGCAGTCACATCATTTCCGGAGTACACCCTGCAAGAAGCTCACAGGACGGCGCTTTCTAAAACCAACCTCGTTTCGTAAGTTTCATATTCACCTAGAAGCACAGCTGCCACTTTGCTATCCCCCCTCCCCCCAAAAGAGACGCTAGCATTTAATACTGTCACCAGATGGACACACATTAAAGTTAGCCATTTTGGAAAGAATGATATGGAATTTTTAAAAAACCACAAGAAAAGAAATTACACAGCATAAATTTAATTCAGCTACCAGGGAGCATGATTAAATTAGGGGAGAGGGGATTATTACAGCCAAGACAGTTCAAGTTTTCAGGTTGGTTTTTTTTTTCTTTTCCAGGGACGAGGGTAGAATATATTTATATATATTTACGCACAGACAAACACGTGCTCAGAACTTGAACAAGTATATAAAAACTGCTGTAACCATAAATAAAGGAAATGAACCAAACCAAACAAAAACAATTAGAATGAAACACCCACCAGCTATTTTTTTTAAAAAGAAAAACAAACACGAGGAAAACAAAAATGTCAACAAATTAATGCACCAAAAGAGTGTTTTTTCAAAAAAAATGACTACAAGGAAGATAGAGGTAGATTTTTGAAAGGGTATGACAAAAGTGAAGGAATACATTGAATAACATGAGCTGTTGGGGAGGAAAAGGCAAAGGGAATAATCTGGCTGCAGGGAGTGGAACTATTTTAATGGTAGGAGGAAGGACTTACTGAACTTTAGAGGGAACTCCAAGTGGCTTTAGATTCATCTTGATAGCAAATTGAAATATAAAAGTGGTAAAAGGAACAGAACATTGGAGAGGATAATTACTGTTTGAAGGTCTACAACGCCCCAAATACACCCAGAAAAAGTAACTTCTCGGTCTTGCCCACTCCAGCTGCGGTTCTGGGGAGGCACCCAAACAGTACTCAAGGGAGGCATTGTATATATTTCTCTATGTGTAGTCCTTAAATGTTGGTTCCTCTAGGTATTTTGGACTCCAGCTCCCAGAAGTCCCGCCTGTACGTCAAATGGTCAGAGATTCTGGGAGCCCAAAGTCCTAAACATAGAGAGCAATGAAGTCAAGACCCACTACTCTATATATCAGTCGTTCCCAAACTTTGGGCCTCTAGGTGTTTTGGACTTCAGCTCCCACAGTTGCTAACAGCTGGTAAGCTGGTTGGGATTTCTGGGTGTTGAAGTCCAAAACACCTGGAGGCCCAAAGGTTGGGAACCACTAAGTTGTTGTGAGTTTTCCGGGCTGTATGGCAATGTTTCAGAAGCATTCTCTCCTGATGTTTCATCTGCATCTACGGCAGGCATCCTCAGAGGTTGTGAGGTCTGTTGGAAACTAGGAAAATTGGGTTTATATCTGGGAATATCCAGGGTGGGAGAAAGAACTCTTGTCTTTCGAGGTAGGTGTGAATGTTTCAATTGGCCACCTTGACTAGCATTTAATGACTCAGGAGTTTCAAGGTCTGGCTTCTCACTGCCTGGTGAAATTCTTTGTTGGGTGATTAGCTTGCCCTGTTTTCCTAGTTGCCAAGAGACCCCACAACCTTTGAGGATGCCCGCCAAAGATGCAAGCGAAACGTCAGGAGAGAATGCTTCTGGAACATGGACATACAGCCCGGAAAACTCACAACAATCCAGTGATTCTGGCCATGAAAGCCTTTAAAAATACATTGGGAACCACTGCTATATATAGCCCAAGCACCCACTTCCCAATGTGCTTTTCTTCATAGTTCTCAGTATATGCAATTCGATGTATCTCTGAAGGCTATTGGCTTCAGGTTCTAGTCTAGACTAAAACCATACTATTGAAATTATTGTACCCTTTCAATAAAATGGATCCAGCACATTGGATAGTTCAAGTTCACTAAGAGTGGATTCATAATCTATTGACATTGGAATCATCTTCCAGATTGCAAGGAATGGCAAAAAATCAGCTTAGAAAGTTACTTTTGGAGCATCTAAGGCAGTGGTTTTCAACCTGTGGGTCCCCAGATGTTTTGGCCTTCAACTCGCAGAAATCCTAACAGCTGGTAAACTGGCTGGGATTTCTGGGAGTTGTAGGCCAAAACATCAGGGGACCCACAGGTTGAGAACCAGTGATCTAAGGCAAGAACAGGCCACATTTTCCACCCATGCTGGATGAGTCTAATGGGAAATGTAGGCCAAAACATCTTGAATGCCAAAAGTTTCCAAGAAATGACCTGGCAAATTATCAGGATTTACTCAGGGAAGCTTTGAGGGCTACCATCCACATACAATTCTACATTTGAATGTTTGGTCCCCCCAAAATACTCATTAGTGGGTGCAGAGGGCAATTTAATTATGTTTCTGACCTTTTTAGGCCCTTTTTTCAAAGTCCCAAAAAGTGAGAACATTGACCTCACATACAACCTAGTGGTATATTTAATTTTTTTAAAAAAGAATTGGGATTCTAGAGTATGTCCCAATGTAAAAAAATTAAAATACAATACCCCTTATTTGGAGGGCATTGTTTTGCAGAGAGGAATAGGCAAACACAGCCAGATAAGGGACAGGGCTATTACTCACTGATTCAATTGCAGATTCAAGAGCAGGGGGAAGGAGAGGTTGAAAGAAGTGTCACAAATATATCCACTCCTACGTCACTTCCCCTTTGGATGTGGCAAGATGCAGCCCACACACAGGATCACAAGGAAAGGCTAACTGGGGAAGATGAGGGGGGAATGCAAGTGTGTCAGGTCCAGTGCAGATTTGGGCAGGCAAGGAGGTCCTACGAGGAAGAGACCTACAACCTACAGGGTTTTCCAGTGCAGAACAGGAACGGTGGAGGGAGCAAAAGACACCAATCAATGCCAAAAGAATCTCTTCCTAACCATTCCACCACAAATAATATTAATCATAATCATTAAAAAAGACATTGTCATTCCCCAACCCCATCCCAAAAGTCTGTCCATGAGTCAAAATATTCAAGAGTGCAGGATTAAGAACAGTGGCTCTTCTCTTTTTTCTCTCTCTTTCGTTTTGTCTCCCAACAGGAAGCTCGTCTGCCTTCTTCATTCTTTTCTTTTTCCAGTCTCCCTTCTTTTCCCTTTTTCTCTGTTAAAAATTGTCACCTTCATCTCTCTTCCTTTTTGGAGACTTTGGAAGAGTGCCACGCTGTGGAGCTGCCAAAAGGAAAACAAAGGACCAGTTTTAACTTTTGATCAGAAAGGGAAACTCTAATAAAGACAGCTGGGGCCATTTCAGCTGGGTCAGTCAAAGGTGCCTACCGAATGAAGGTTTTGAAGGCAGCCGACTGGGGGTTGATACAGAGTGGGACCCGCTTCCCTCGTTGTTGGTCCAAGATAAACCTGTGCACCAGTTCTGAAAAAGAAGACACCATCTGAATCTCTTTGTCTCTATATCATTGACACTACCCTAATGAACCATGTTAACAAGGACCATTTAAATTTATTTAAGTTAATTTACCATACATACTCGAGCATAAGTTGACCCGAATATATCCCGAGGGGCCTAATTTTACCACAAAAAACTGGGAAAACTTATTTACTCGAGTATAAGCTAAGGGTGGGAAATGAAGCAGCTACTGGTAAATTTGAAAATAAAAATAGATACCATCAATAGGTTAAATGTTTTTGAGAGTCATGGGTTAGAAATTATTATTATTATTATTATTATTATTATTATTATTATTATTATTTTCCACTCTTCATGGAATGATCCTGAACTTATCCACAAGTCGTATCAAAATCCTTCATTTTGGCCCCCAAAACTTATATATGAAGTTAAAATATACATTGATAATTTATTTATTTACCGCATTTATATACCGCCTTTCTCAGCCAGAGGTGACACCATAACAATGATCAAAAATACAGTTAAAACAATTATAAAAACAATTCAACATTTAAAATGTGATATAAAAGAAACAATAATGTCTGTAAAAACAAAATCCTTGGCGTCTCTTTACTAAAATCATTGTCCAATTGTATCGTTGGTCATTGCAATTGTTCATTTTCGTCTAACCATGCTCCAGTAGTAAAAGCTTGCTTGAAGAGCCAGATCTTAACCATTTTAGTTTAGAAAGGGACATTTAGAAATCTCAGAGAAGAAAGTTTTGCTGTTTCAACTAACTACAAAGCTTAGGAGCCTGTAGGATGTGTGCATAACTAGAGTAGAATCATTGTGTTACAATCAAGAGATTTTTAAACAGGTTGGGAAAAGAACTGCTTTAGTTACACTTTCCTGTATTAGTATAAGGTTTGAATAGATACCTTTTGGATTCCTTCTAACCTTCCAGAAGCAACAAAGAATCCAACTGCACCTTCAAGACTAACACTAGACACATATTACAATCATTCTGGAAACAGTAACACTGTACTGAATTTATTTACTCTCTGTATATATTCTCTGTATATATTCTCTTTATATATATATTCATGAGGAGACAGCAAAGCCTAGAGAAGACAATTATGCTGGGGAAAGTGGAAGGCAAAAGGAAGAGGAGCCGACCAAGGGCAAGATGGATGGATGGCATCCTTGAAGTGACTGGACTGACCTTGAAGGAGCTGGGGGTGGTGACGGCCAACAGGGAGCTCTGGCGTGGGCTGGTCCATGAGGTCATGAAGAGTCGGAGACGACTGAACAAATGAACAACAACAACAACAATATATTCTCCTCTGATATAAGGTATCTTGGATGAGACTATGTAACACAATTTTTGTTCCTGGGTTATAAATGTCATTTCCTAATTAGTTCTATCATAAAACATGAAAAAAAGTTTATTAAACTGCAAAAACTTTGCTTTTGTGGAAGGGATATCCTGCAGCACATTTTGCTATAGTTTTTCAATGATTATCTCATAGAGTCTCGACCAATTCAACAGTTTTTGCAGCAGTCAAATAAACGAAGTTTCTGGAGTATAACAACTACTTTCAAAGTAAGTACTGCACAATTAAATAGCACTGAAAGAGACATGTAGAATAATCACAGGATGCCTTAAACCTACACCTGCTGATAGACTATAAACTAGCTGGCATTGCCCCCTCCCCTTGATGTGCGATGGGAAGTTGCTGCCAGAAATAAGGTTGAACACTGTGAAAACCACCCACTGTATGGCTACCAGCCTCCTCCCAGTAGACTCAAATCAAGGAAAAGCTTCATGAGAACAACCACTCCTCTAAATATTTCCCCAGCAACAGCAAGAATATCCCTGTGGGCAGAAAAATCAGGCAATTCCAACTGGATGCCCCCCATGAGGGTCTGCTTCCAGGGACAAACCAAGAATGGGCAACTTGGAAGTCTCTGAACAGATTCAGAAGTGTGGTTGGTAGATCAAAAGACAATCTGGTAAACTGGCACAACCTAGAAGAATCCTCCACCTTGTGTGACTGTGGAGCAGAACAAACAACTCATTATCTGAATGCTTGCCCACAACACCCTGCCTCATGCACAGAGGAAGAATTGTTTAAAGCTACAGACAATGCGGTCGCTATTGCCCATTTTTTGGTCTAAAACTATTTATCTGCTTGTGTTCCCTCTATTCTATCAGTTTTATACTTATTTATTTATGCACTGCTTTTGCCACAAAATAAATAAATAAAACAGGAAATAGGACTTACAAACCAGGAACAGATTTTTTTCAGAGCTTCTCTTACTTCAGAACAGAACTGGCTAGCACTGCTAACTGGAGACAACACAAATTACTTTTAGCTCACCCTGTTTATGAGTGCACTTCAAAGTGTTGGGGTTTTCTTTTAAACCCCACAGGGCCCTGGTACCAAAAGGGTAATCTTTCCTTTGAAAGCCCCAAAAGCAAGAGGATCTTCTCTTTGTCCCACCACCTTCTGAGGTTGTTTTATCAGGACTGTCTTGGTGGTTGCACCATGGCTTTGAAACTCCTTTTCCAGGGAGACTAGTTTGAGTACTTAAAGCCAAGAGGATTTGGTATAAAGCCAACTACCTTTGACCTGCCAGACAGAGGTGAGGCTCTTCTCATAAGAGCCATCAAACTTGGGGTCGGCCCGGGGCTCAAAGTCACTGGTGTAGACTCGACCCGAGGAGACGGAAAAGCAGCAGGTGCACATACAGGTGTGGTAACGCAGCCGCCCCTCATCCAGGTAGGGGTGGGAGAGCGCATCCTTGGCAGAGATCCTCTTGGCCTGCAGCAGAAAGACGGAGATTCAGTAACACTAAGATTCTCGCCATATGCTTACAAGACTCTTGGGCAATGGATTTTTGTGTATAGCAGGCATGGGCAAACTTTGGCCCTCTGGGTGTTTTGGACTTCAACTCCCACAATTCCTAACAGCCTTAAGCAGCTGAGGGGGAAAAGGAAGGGACCTGAGGCTGTTAGGAATTGTGGGAGTTGAAGTCCAAAACACCCAGAGGGCCAAAGCTGGCCCGTGTCTGTGTTAAACCAAAGAGGCATTTGTTTTTCTCAGCCACCCATCCTCAAGCTTGTGCTCTCTGCAGAAGTTTCGTTGTGACTTTTATCATCGCTAGCCAGCATGCAAAGACATGTGGGCTGGGAATAATGAGAATTGTAGCTCAACAGAGCTCAAAGATTTTAGGTTGTGGAAGACTAAGGGTGCCTGTAGTTTTACTGCCATGGCTCAGTGTTATGGAATCATGGGAGTTGTAGTTTTACAAGGTCTGTCCCAAAATGCTGGAGCTTTGAAAATTATAAGTCCCAAGATATCATAACAGTGAGCTATGTCAGTTAAAGTGGCATCAAACTGCATTAATTCTACAGTGTAGATCAGTGGTTTTCAACCTGTGGGTCCCCAGATGTTTTGACTACAACTCCCAGAAATCCCAGCTAGTTTGCCAGCTGTTAGGATTTCTGGGAGTTGAAGGCCAAAGCATCTGGGGACCCACAGGTTGAGAACCACTGGTGTAGATGCATCCTAAATTGAATTTAGTTCATGTAATGGGCATACTATGCCATATGAGTCCAATGTTTTCTCATCTCAGAGGCTAATCGGGGTTAGGCCTGTTTCATATAAAGAAAATTTACAATACGCACTGAAAAAGCAATAGATTGATACCAGCTTGCACTGATTTGTATCTTCACAGCTTACATCTGTTTGCATTGACTTACAAAGCAAGGCTGTGCACTTTTTGGTTTTTTTTTATGTGTCAGGACTTGAGAAACTGCAAGCCGCTTCTCGTGTGAGAGAATTGGCCATTTGCAAGGACGTTGCCCAGAGGACACTCGGATGTTTTGATGTTTTACCATCCTTGTGGAAGCCTTCTCTCATGAACCCGTATGGGGAGCTGGAGCTGAGAGAGGGAGCTCAACCCGCTCTCCCTGGATTCGAACCGCTGACCTGTCAGTCTTCAGTCCTGCCAGCATAAGCGTTTAACCCATTGCGCCACCGGGGGCTCCTAACTGTGCCCTTGTGATTGGAAAATCATAGAATATCTTCGGTTCCGTGCTTGGATTTCCCCTGCTCCTCAGTGAGCACGAAGCAGCAGCTTGTCAGCTTGTAATGCATTTTGAACATTTTCACATATTACTTTGATTACTCATTGTGACTACAAGGTACTCAGGCTGACTCGAGTGAGGGAAAGTCCTGCCACATGGCAGATGAGCAAAAATCTTTTATCAATATACCGTAAAAACCGGGGTAATAGACGACTTTTTAAACCTTTAAAATCCTTTGAAAACTTGGGGGTCGTCTTGTCTTCCGGACATATTAGATGACGAATGGCAGCGGAGCCGAGGCAGCGGAGGAGAACATCCGCCCGCAGCGGCCTGCCCTCCGACCTCCTTCCTCACGCTGCCTCTTTCCTCACTGGGCCCAGCTGGGGCCCAACGGAGCGTCTGGCACCTTTCCCTCCTCCGTCCTCGCCCCGCAGATGCCTTCCTCGGCGGTGGAGGTGCACACGGGATGGGAGAGGAGGGAAAGATGCACCCTGCGGAGGCCTGCGCTGTCTTCTGCAGCTGGTGCACACCTTTCCCTCCTCTCTCATCCCGTGTGCGCCTGCCGAGGAAGGCATCTGCGGGGCGAGGACGGAGGAGGGAGACCTGCGCTGGTGAGCGCGCTCACCCCTGCTGCTTCCGGAGAGGCTTCCAGCATGTCTACAGGCTCCTGCAGCAGCGCGGCGTGGGCCAGACGCTCCGTTGGGCCCCAGCTGGGCCCAGTGAGGAAAGAGGCAGCATGAGGAAGGAGGCCGGAGGGCCACCTTCCTCACGCTTCCTCTCTCCTTCCTGGACCCAAATGAGGCCAATGGAGCGTCTGGCCCTTCGCCTGCCCCGCTCTCTCGCCGATAGCGAGGGTGCAAGGTAGGCGAGGAGGCCTCCGTGCGAGGCCTGGCGTTGTGTAAGCCCTCCTCGCCCGCCCCGCTCTCTCGCCAATGGCCATCGGCGAGAGAACGAGGGAGGCGAGGAGAGCTTCCGCGATGCCAGGCCTCGCGCGGAGGCCTCCTGGCCTGCTTTGCACCGTCGCCATCAGCGAGAAAGCGAGGCAGGCCAGGAGGCCTCCGCGCGACGCCTGGCGTCCCAGAAGCCCCTTGTCGCCTGCCTCGCGCTCTCGCCAATGGCCTCAGCGCGAGGTGAATGGGGAAAGCAACAGCGTGAGAGGAGACTGAAGGGAAGAGAAGAGGTTGCAAGGCAACCGAAAGAGCGAAGGAACAGGGACCCAGATAACCCAGTCCCCTTCCACACAGCTGAATGAAATTCCACATTGTCTGCTTTGAACTGGATTATCTGTGTCCACACAGCCAGATAATCCACTTCAGTGTGTATTTTATGCAGCTGTATGGAAGGGGACCCAGATAACCCAGGCCCCTTCCACACAGCTGAATGAAATCCCACATTATCTGCTTTGAACTGGATTATCTGAGGCCACACAGCCAGATAATCCACTTCAGTGTGTATTTTATGCAGCTGTATGGAAGGGGACCCAGATAACCCAGTCCCTTTCCACACAGCTGAATGAAATCCCACATTATCTGCTTTGAACTGGATTATCTGAGTCCACACAGCCAGATAATCCACTTCAATGTGTATTTTATGCAGCTGTATGGAAGGGGACCCAGAGAACCCAGGCCCCTTCCACACAGCTGAATGAAATCCCACATTATCTGCTTTGAACTGGATTATCTGAGGCCACACTGCCAGATAATCCACTTCAATGTGTATTTTATGCAGCTGTATGGATGGAGCCCCAGATAACCCAGTCCCTTTCCACACAGCTGAATGAAATCCCACATTATCTGCTTTGAACTGGATTATCTGAGGCCACACAGCCAGATAATCCACTTCAGTGTGTATTTTATGCAGCTGTATGGAAGGGGACCCAGATAACCCAGGCCCCTTCCACACAGCTGAATGAAATCCCACATTGTCTGCTTTGAACTGGATTATCTGTGTCCACACAGCCAGATAATCCACTTCAGTGTGTATTTTATGCAGCTGTATGGAAGGGGCCCTAGATAACCCAGTCCCCTTCCACACAGCTGAATGAAATCCCACATTGTCTGCTTTGAACTGGATTATCTGTGTCCACACAGCCAGATAATCCACTTCAGTGTGTATTTTATGCAGCTGTATGGAAGGGGACCCAGATAACCCAGGCCCCTTCCACACAGATGAATGAAATCCCACATTATCTGCTTTGAACTGGATTATCTATGTCCACACAGCCAGATAATCCACTTCAGTGTGTATTTTATGCAGCTGTATGGATGGAGACCCAGATAACCCAGTCCCTTTCCACACAGCTGAATGAAATCCCACATTATCTGCTTTGAACTGGATTTCTGAGTCCACACAGCCAGATAATCCACTTCAATGTGTATTTTATGCAGCTGTATGGAAGGGGACCCAGAGAACCCAGGCCCCTTCCACACAGCTGAATGAAATCCCACATTATCTGCTTTGAACTGGATTATCTGAGTCCACACAGCCAGATAATCCACTTCAGTGTGTATTTTATGCAGCTGTATGGAAGGGGCCCCAGATAACCCAGTCCCTTTCCACACAGCTGAATGAAATCCCACATTATCTGCTTTGAACTGGATTATCTGAGTCCACACAGCCAGATAATCCACTTCAGTGTGTATTTTATGCAGCTGTATGGAAGGGGACCCAGATAACCCAGGCCCCTTCCACACAGCTGAATGAAATCCCACATTATCTGCTTTGAACTGGATTATCTGAGGCCACACTGCCAGATAATCCACTTCAATGTGTATTTTATGCAGCTGTATGGATGGAGCCCCAGATAACCCAGTCCCTTTCCACACAGCTGAATGAAATCCCACATTATCTGCTTTGAACTGGATTTCTGAGTCCACACAGCCAGATAATCCACTTCAATGTGTATTTTATGCAGCTGTATGGAAGGGGCCTCAGATAACCCAGTCCCCTTCCACACAACTCAAGTTTGGTCCAATTTAATTGTGGTTGGATTTCAGAATGCTCTTTGATGGCTGGGGAACTAAACACCCCAAGTCCCAAATGCCAAGGTCTATTTTCCCAAAATCTCTCCAGTGTTTTCTGTTGGTCGTGAGAGTCCTGCAGGCCAAGTTTGGTCCAATTTAATTGTTGGAGTTCAGAATGCTCTTTGATGGCTGGGGAACTATACATCCCAACAACTCCCAAATGCCAAGGTCTATTTCCCCCAAACTCCACCAGTCTTCAGATTTGGGCATACTGAGTATTTGTGCCAAGTTCTGTCCAGATCCATAGTAATTTGGGTTCACAGTGCTCTCTGGATGTAGGTGAACTACCTCTCCCATAATTCACTATCAATTCCTCCCAACCCCCTCCAGTATTTTCTATTGGTCATTAGGGTTCTGTGTGCCAAGTTTGGTCCTGGTCTGTATTTCGGGGGGGGGGGGGGGGTGTCTCAGTGGTCTCTGGAAGTCAGAGCTGCATCGGTTGAAGGTACTTCACATCCCATCATCCGTTGCCCACACTCCCCCAAACATATTGTTTTTGTGATTAATCACTATGCTTTAATTATGTTCAATTTGTAACAATGAAAATACATCCTTCATATCAGACATTTACATTACATTTCATAACAGTAGCAAAATTACTGTTATGAAGTAGCAACGAAAATGTGGTTGGGGGTCACAACAACATGAGGAACTTTATTTAAGGGTCACGGCATTAGAAAGGTTGAGAACCACTGGCCTAAAGGATATCTTCCAACTTTTATTAGTATTAATGTTATTGTTGTTGTTATTGAGGCTGGGTGGCCATCTGTCAGGGCTGCTTTGAGTGTGCTTTCCCTGTATGAAGGCAGAATGAAGGGGGTTGGACTAGATGGCCTTTAGAGCTCCCTTCCAACGCCATTATTAATATTAATAAGACTAGATAGCCATTTGTCGAGAGTGCTTTGATTGTGCTTTCCCCGCAAGAAGGCAGAATGAAGGGGGTTGGACTAAATGGCCTTTAGAGGTCCCTCCCAACTTTAGGATTCTGTGAAAGGAATCTTTGTCGAACATGAGCCAGTAGTATGATGCTGCAGCTAAAAAGGCCAATGCTGTTTTAGGCTGTGTCAATAGGAGAAGCCTGAGAAAAGGCAAAAGGGAACTGATATGACACTTTACCTTGGCTGGTTTTTATAATTGCTTTAAATGAGAATTATTTCATGCAACAGTTTATTTTAACTTATTGCCAGCATGATGTAAAGGACCCAGAGTATAAATGAAATTCAAGGGAGAAAGAGCAACTGTAATGTACAATGTAAGGTACAATGTCCCTCTCATGGGAACCTGCATGTCATAAGCATTTGAATTAAAATTACCATCTTGAATTCAAATCTGATTTTTAATTTTTTTTATTTAGTGTGCATTGGAAGAGGGGTGGTCTTATTTATTTATTTATTTATTTATTTACTGCATTTATTGACCGCCGCTCTCAGCCCTAGGGCGACTCGCGGCGGTGCACAACATATAAAAACAGTTTACAAAAAGGGCAAAACAGGGAATCAATACAACAATAATACACTATAATCTGGTTACACTAAATAATCTGCTCCGTCACATCATAGAATCATAACCAATATCGTAATCCGTATTCCGTTCCAGTTGTCAATTACCATTTGATATACAATTTGAGTATATCCCAAACTCTATATTTTAACTGAAAAAATTGGGGGTCGTCTTATACGCCCAGTCGTCTTATATGCCGGAATATACGGTAATTAACATGTGGCACCAGGACTTGATAGATTTTGACAAACAGTTGAAGGTCACAGAGTAACCTGTCAATATTTATGCTAGCAATGTTCTCCTATTTATTAGGGCTAGAGATGGACCACACCTGGACTCCTTGAGCTTATTCTTCCTTCTATACATTCAGCCAACCATATTAATCAAATCAATAGTTAAACTAGTAAATATCGAAGGCCGACTATGCTAACAGCTAGACCCATATAGGAGTCCCCAGTGATGCAATAGGTTAAATCCTTGTGCAGGCAGGACTGCTGGCTTGTGTGAAAGGAGATTCCATCTGAACATTAGGAAGAACTTCCTGACTGTGAGAGCCGTTCAGCAGTGGAACTCCCTGCCCCGGAGTGTGGGGGAGGCTCCTTCTTTGGAAGTTTTTAAACAGAGGCTGGATGGCCATCTGTCGGGTTATTTGAATACAATATTCCTGCTTCTTGGCAGGGGGTTGGACTGGATGGCCCATGAGGTCTCTTCTAACTCTATGATTCTATGATGCTTATACTGATACATTTTTAATTCCACGTCTTAATGTTAAATGATGTCATATTTATGATAATTGTATGTTATTATTGTTATGTTAGGTTTCTGTATGTGAGAAATTAAATTTTGCCACAATTATGTTGAAAACCGCTTTGAGTCCCCTGCTGGGGTGAGAAAAGCGGTATGCAAGTGAAGTAAACAAATAAATAAGGTAGGTGGATCGAATCCAGGAAGGGGGATGAGCTCCCCTCTGTCAGCTCCAGCTTCTCATGTGGGGACATGAGAGAAGCCTTCTACAAGGATGGTAAAAATCAAACATCCGGGTGTCCCCTGGGCAACATCCTTGCAGACGGACAATTCTCTCACACCAGAAGCGACTTGCAGTTTCTCAAGACACTCCTGACACACACAAAAAATCTACACCCAGAAGTTATTACTGAATTTTGTATGAATCAAAATGCCCACAAACGTTCACAAGTTCAATTGGTGTAGTCTTTAAAGCCCACCTAGAAAGGTATTCCTTAACACAACATTCCCCACTCACCGGGTCAAAGACCAGCATCCGGCAGAGCAAATGGACGGCCTCATGGGTGGCTTCTCCTGAGAGCATGTAAAGGACAGACAGCGACGGCTGGAGGAAGACAATTGGAAAACAGTGAAGCGGCTGCTTCCATTCCCACCCACTGTTCCCCATTATGTATCTCCTAGCCCTCTGAATCCCAACTGTACTCACTGGCTTGTGATTCCCACGCAGGATGTGGGCCCGGGCCCCTTCGCAGGCTGAATGCAAGGCGGCAGCAGGAGGTGTCCCCAAGAGGTCTGTGATCAGGTCCAGCTGCCGCCCAGAGCAAAGAGCACCCAAGTTGAGGAGTGGATGGAGGGAGAAGGAAAATAAGCAAAAGCATGTTACTGCCTACTCCCGTCTTTCCCTGATGCTCAGCTGTTCTGGCACAATTGTTCTGATTGGAGATGATGGGAAGAACTCATCGGCACAACTAAAGGATCCCAAGTTTGGAAGAGATCGGTCAATTTTAACCTCTTCCCAGAGCTCATGGCTTCTCCATCCACCTTTTAATGTGAGGACTTTGTGTAGATGAGAATAAGACTTTATTTTAATTTATTTCACCTCTTACATAGGCTCCCAGCATGGGTATTTCTTAGACTTAGAGGAGAGAATATATACAGTCAGTTATGCATGAAGGCTCCAGGATACCCAAATTTTATATATCTCATCCTAAGGAATATGGGGGACAATTCCATCACATTTTGTGGCCTCCCTAGACATTATTATTATTATTATTATTATTATTATTATTATTATTATTATTATTCTGACACAAAAACACAGTATGACACAGCAAATAAGATATATATGCTGGATTTCGTATCACAAAATCACTATTATTATTATTCTTTACCGGCCTTTCCTCGTGGCTTGAGGCAGGTTACAGCATAATCAAAACACAAAAAATTGCAAAACAAAACCCCTATAAATACACATATTACAATGTACTTCTATAAAAGATACATATTAGAATGTATTTCTATAAAATACATATTAAAATACACAGAACTGGCTGGGTAGGCCTACTGGAAGAGATAGTTCTTTAGATGGTTTTTAAATTCCAGAAGGTTGAATACTACCACAAATTATGCAGTCAAGTTTCCCGCATTTGGGGAAATTGCAGGGGTCAGCACACCCAGAGTGCAATGAATGGGCCTCACCATGGGAAAACTGCCTTTGTGATCATGGTATCTCCCCTGCCAGGTAAGACATGATAGGAAAGGATAAAAACATTGTAATTTTAGGGGCAGGGGGTAAATAGGAATATTTTGTATTTTTTTATTCAAATCTGGCACTCAAGGTCGTTTGGGGGTCTATTCAGCCCTGAAGCTCCAACAGCTCTAATTTCTGAAATGCTATTTCTATATGAGAATGCCTTCTTTCATGGAGGGCCTTTGAAAATCTGCATCTTGATGTCACACAGTCCTTCGTTCGTCACACCACATTTTCTCAACTTCTCCCAAAAGGATATGGGAAGATTTAGTTTTAACGGAACTTGATGATAGCAATGATAGTTTCTCATTTCAGATGAAAGAATATTATTAAAATTTCAGTTTTATTTGCCCCTCAGTGTATTGGATGTTGGAGTGGTTTCTTTTTGGCACCATCTACTGGCCATAAGGGAGAATTACAACATAATACCATTTCTTTAATTAATAGCTTGCAGTTGCAAGCATTTATTCGTTGACACCATCGGTTCTCCTGTATGTCTGCTTCTACATGGTGGGCATAGCATTTTTATGCTTTTTGGTCTAAAATGTCCCATAAAACCTATAATATGGTGCCGCTTTCTTATTACCTGGTGCTCATGTTTCAATCTGTAAATTGCAGACTAACTGTTGGTGCCAACTAGTGGGTATTTTGTAGCACTACAAGCAGGGATAACAAGGAAATGTCTTATCTTTTGGCCTCACCCTCCTTCCAGATGGGTTTTTCCACTATAATTACCTGCTGAATAGGGCTCTGAGCCTGGAAGAGGATACGCCTGCCAAGGAGTTCAGCGAAGATGCAGCCCACAGACCAAATATCAATGGGGCGGCCATAGTGTCTGGTCCCCATCAGGATTTCAGGGGCCCGGTAATATTGAGTTACCACTTCTTGAGTCATGTGCTGGGACTCATCGGGCTCCTCTACCCGGGCCAAACCAAAGTCACAAATCTGAAAAGGGGGGGAAAACAAGAAATGGATCAAATACTAGAGATACCTAAAGCAAAAATGATATAAAAAATTGACCCGGAAATCTGCTGGAACAAACAATTCCCTTTGACACCATATGCTAATCCAAAATTATTTGTATAAAGGGAGATAATAATAAAGCAATAATAATATAAATATTTATTTATATGCTGTTTTTCTCCCAAAAGGGCCCCGTTTATTGCTCTTGTTCTGTAGGAGAATGTTACACTCTAGATTTATGAATTTTCATTTGGGGAGTGGATGAGCGGATTAAACCACTGAACTGCTGAACCTGCTGACCAAAAGGTTGGCAATTTGAATCCAGAGAATGGGGTGAGCTCCTGCTGTTAACCCCAGCTTCTGCAAACCTAGCAGTTCGAAAACATGCAAGTGTGAGTAGATCAATAGGTACCGCTTCTGCAGGAAAGCAACGGCGCTCCATGAAGTCATGCCAGCCACATGACCTTGGAGATGTCTATGGACAACGCCAGCTCTTCAGCTTAGAAATGGAGATGAGCACCACCCCACAGAGGCAGACTCGACTAGACTTAATCTCAAGGGGAAACCTTTATCTTTCTCCCACAATGGGGATCTAAAGAAGCTTCCAACATTTTAAAGTACAATACAAAATTAACCACGGTCAACATATAAATAAATATATAAATAAACATATAAATAAACATTGCAAATAATCATGTAGTGCATAAATAAGCATGGTGGTTTACAAACTCCTGTGACCTGGAAGGATTTTCCTCCTGGTCCAAGTGGAATGGAGATACGTTTTATTGATCATGACATTTATAATGGAATTCTGGGTATGCCACACTTTCCCTCTTCATTGCTTCTCGGTATGTTCCACATCTAAGCTAAAGAAGAGCCCTCTAATCTGGTTTAGGTGCTCTGTTTAATTTTGCACCAAAATAAAATCTTCCTCAACGAACGTCATACTCTGTTCTGGGTGTGGATATGTACACTGTTACTTAATCTGAACAGCTTTAACCTTGCAGTATTATTTGCTTTTAATAAAGGGCACATCTCTTTATAACTTTTATTGCTCCTGTTCTGTAGGAGAATGTTACACTGTAGATTTATGATATTTTCATTTGGGGAGTGGGATGAGTTGTGATAATGACTGGGACAAGGGATTAGTGACTCATCAAGGGGACACCCAATAAATCCATTACAGAGACAGACTGTGAACTCAATTTTTACAATTCCCTTTGAATGGTTGCCACCCACATCCTGCAGGAGGAAAAAACAAAAGCAATGGGGAAGAACAAGCCAAGCAATGTAATCAGCCTATCCCAGAAGTGAGATATTATGTGCCTTCTCCAATTCACTGATTTCTTAAAATATGGAGGCACCAGAATGCTATAAAAATTCCAAATATAACTAGGCATAGGTCTGTATAAAGAAGAGTAGGCCATATGTGGCTCCCCCCCCCCCCCACAATAACAAAAGAAATGTTCCAAAATGCCCCAAAATTACCTCTATAGGTGTAGATGGCATTTGGGGGMAAGTTTTGTTTTTGCAGGTACAGATGTGTTAATAGGAAATTTTATCATGGTTTCCTTGGAGTCTGGTGACATCTGGCTTGAAAACACTCTGTGTGAAAGGTATCTAGATGTCTTAGTAGGCCACAAGGAGCTCCCGGTGGTGTAATGGGTTAAACCCTTGTGCCGGCAGCACTGCTGACAGAAAAGTCAGTGGTTCAAATCCAGGAAGTGGGGCAAGCTCCTGTCTGTCAGCTCCAGCTTCTCATGTGGGGACATTATAGAAGCCTCCCACAGGATGCTGGGGAAAATGGAAGGAAAAAGGAAGAGGGGCCGGCCAAGGGCAAGATGGATGGATGGCATCCTTGAAGTGACTGGACTGACCTTGAAGGAGCTGAGGGTGGTGACAGCCGACAGGGAGCTCTGGCGTGGGCTGGTCCATGAGGTCACAAAGAGTCGGAAACGACTGAATGAATGAACAACAACAACCCACATCCGGGCGTCCCCTGGGCAACATCCTTGCAGATGGCCAATTATCTCATACCAGAAGCAACTTGCAGTTTCTCAAGTCAATCCTGACACACAAAAAAGTAGGCCATAAGGCCATAAGTTATCCTGTTGACATGAGTCAACAGGATAATGCGGCAGTGAAAAAAGACCATGCAATTCTAGGCTGCGTCACTAGATGTACAACGTGAATATCGAGGGAAGTCATAATCCAATTTTATTTTGCTTTGGTCAGACTTCACCCGGAAAATGTTGTCCAGTTCTGGGCAATTCAAGAAGATTACTGACAAGATGGAACGTGTCCAGAGAAGGGCAACCAAAATTAGCTAAAGTTTGGAAGCCAAATCCTATGTGGAGCAGCTTATGGAGCTGGATGTGCTTAGCTAGGAGAAAAGAAGGCTGAGATTGGAACGTGGTAGCCATGTTTACATATATGAAAAGATGTTGCATTGAGTGGGGAGTGAATTTGTTTTCTGCTGCTCTGGAGACTTGGAGACAATGGAGCAATTGATTTCAATGGCAGGAAAAGAGATTCAACCTAAACATTAGTAAGAACAAGAATAAGAGCTGTTCGACAATGCAATATACTGCCTGTGAGTGTGAAGGAGTTTCTTTCTCTGGAAGTTTTTAAGCTGAGGCTGGATAGCCATCTATCAAGGGTGCTTTGATTTATTTTCGAAGGCTTTCATGGCCGGAATCACTGGGTTGCTGTGAGTTTTCCAGGCTATATGAGCATGTTCCAGAAGCATTCTCTCCTGAAGTTTCACCCACATCTATGGTAGGCATCTATTGGAAAATAAGCTAGTGAGATTTATATATCTGTGGAATGTCCAGGGTGGGAGAAAGAACTCTTGTCTGCTTGAGACAAATGTGAATGTTGCAACTGGCCACCTTGATTAGCATTGAATGGCCTTGCAGCTTCAAAGCCTGGCTGCTTCTTGCCTGGGGGAATCCTTTGTTGGGAGGTGTTACTATTTTAAAAACTCTAGAATCAAGACAGTACATAAAGAACAATACTAAAAAAACACAGGAATTCCAGACAGGAAATAATACTGGGCCGCTAACACCTCTCAACAAAGGATTCCCTCCAGGCAGGAAGCACCAGGCTTTGAAGCTGTAAGGCATTCAATGCTAATCAATGTCGTCAGTTGCAACATTCACACTTGCCTCCAACAGACAAGCGTTCTTTCTCCCACCATGGACATTCCACAGATCACATGCCTAGTTTCCAGAATATCTCACAATGTCTAAAGATTCCTGCCATAGATGTGGGTGAAACATCAGGAGAAAATGCTTCTGGAACATGGCCATACAGCCCAGAAAATTCACAGCAACCCAGTGCTTTGACTGTTTATTCCTGCATGGGAGAGGATTGGACTGGATGGCCCCTGGGGGCTTCTTCCAACTCTATGATAGTATGAATGCAATCAAGGAGTCCCTGTTAGCTAAGAGCATAAATTACCTTGAGGACACAGTTGCTGTTGACCAGTAAATTCCCAGGTTTGATGTCCCGGTGAAGAACACCAGCAGAGTGCAAATATTTCAGCCCTGCAAAGAGATAGATGGGGTGAGAGAAGAAAAATTAAGCACTTACACAAACCACAATTGATGCAAATGGATGGAATAAAGAACTGGCACCACACTTCATTAGGTTGTCACTGATTACAGCTTTTTTTTTACAAAATGTTTTAATTTATACATTTATACAAGAAGAGAGAAGGACTCTGTTAAGGTATACAGAAAACCCGGTGAGTTTTTGTGAGGAGCAACACCAAGGTTAAGGTAAATGTATGTGTAAAAAAGAATGTGTTGCATGGGTTAACAGATGCAAGTGATTTCTCTTGCTGCAATCAACAGGGTAAAACCCAATTAGATTTGACGCGGATAACGAGGAAGGTTTTAAATGGTGTATTTTAATATTTTGATAAATGTTTTTTAATGTTTGTGTATGTGTATGTGAATTTGTGTCCCGGCATTGAATGTTTGCCGTGTATATGCTGTGCTCCGCCCTGAGTCCCCTTCGGGATGAGAAGGGCAGAATATAAATGTTTTAAATAAATAGATAAATAAAACCACAGAGGTTCAAGTATACTATTTGGAGTTCTTTACAAACTGCTGTTCAGGGTGTCAAGCTCTGTTATTTTTCTTCTGCAGATTGTCAATATAATGCTCCTTGAAAAGGACCATTTGTTTTGTAAGTAAGTTGCTGAATTAAGCTATATTTTATTTTGAATGCTGAAGGACTATATTTTTTTTGCTATATCTGTTTATTTTATTCTCTACTGAAACTCCATTGTAAAGAGTAAAAGGATTTTCTTTTTGCACAAACCTATTGCAGTGTCATTTTATCTTCAAGGGTGCTACAGTTGGATTTTGCCCTCAAGCCTTGATACTCTGCTGCTGAATACACATGCCCAGTTTGGAATACATTTCCATGTTAATAGTAGATGTGGCTCTTAATGAGACATGGAATATTGTGCCTATGCCCAATAGCACTGGAGAAATTATACTGTTTATTCAGTATTGCACCACCTGACATCCGTTGGGAAGTAGCAGCCAGTAATGAAAGGACCAAAGTAGTGACATCTCCGGCCCATCCTTTGTTTGGATATCAGCCAGCACGCCAATGCCTTAAATCAAGAAATGGCTTTCTAAGATCTACAGAGACACTTGCTGGAATACCTCAACAAGCAAGAGTCCAAAAGTGGCAGGCTAAAACCCAGTACCTCAATCAGTGGCTGATACCAAATGAGAGACTCCCTCCTGGGCACACAGAAAACTGGGCAACTTGGAAGGCGCTGGACAGACTGCCCTCTTTCACCACGAGATGCAGAGCTAATCTTAAGAAATGGGGCAACAAAGTGAAGTCCATGACATGCAAGTCTGGAGGAGAGCAAACCACAGACCACTTACTACAATGCAGTCTGAGCCCTGCACATGTACAATGGAGGATCTTCTTACAGCGACACTCCAAATGGCCAGCTTCCGGTCAAAGGAAATTTAGTACAATGCCATTTTTTTAACTTTGTTTGTGGTTCTTCTATACATTGTAACTGTATTCTCAATTCGTGTCTGACATGATAAATAAATAGTTGAAATGCAAGTTTGGTGCTATAGAGGGATGGATTGTTTTCTGGCATTAAATGTAATACATTCTCCTCCATCTCCCTCTTTTCTAAGATATGCACATATGATCTAAAACAGTGTTTCTCAACCTGGGGGTCGGGACCCCTGGAGGGGTCGCGAGGGGGTGTCAGAGGGGTCACCAGAGAACACAGGAAAACACAGTATTTTCTGTTGGTCATGGAGGTTCTGTGTGGGAAGTTTGGCCCAATTCAATCGTTGGCAGGGTTCAGAATGCTCTTTGATTGTAGGTGAACTATACATCCCAGCAACTACAACTCCCAAATGTCAAGGTCTATTTTCCCCAAACCACAGTAGTGTTTACATTTGGGCATATTGAGAATTTGTGCCAAGTTTGGTCCAGATCCATCATTGTTTTGAGTCCACAGTGTTCTCTGGATGTAGGTGAACTACAACTCCCAAAACTCAAGGTCCATACCCACCAAACCCTTCCAGTTTGATTCAATTCCATCGTTGGTGGAGTTCAGAATGCTCTTTGATTGTAGGTTAACTATAAACCCCAGCAACTACAACTCCCAGAGGACAAAAACAATACCCTCCCCCAATCCCACCAGTATTTAAATTTGGGTGTATTGGGTCTTTGTGCCAAATTTGGTCCAGTGTATGAAACTACATCCTGCATATCAGATATTTACATTACTATTCATAACAGCAGCAAAATTACAGTTATGAAGTAGCAATGAAACTAATTTTATGTTTGGGGGTCACCATAACATGAGGAAGCGTATTAAGGGGTCGTGGCATTAGGAAGGTTGAGAACCACTGATCTAAAACATAGCAAAAGTTCTTATTGTGTCAAAATGACAGAATGGATACCCCTAATTTGAAATAATTGGGGCCAGAAGTGTTTCATATTTTTTTTAATATTTTGAGTTAGATTGGAATATTTACCTAAAAATAATAAGATATCTTGGACACGAGACCCAAGCAAAACCCAGAATTAAACTGTTTCATTTACACTTCATATACATGATCGGAATTTTATACCACGATATTTTTAAAATAATTGTATCCAACAGCCATCAGGAAGCAAAGGAATCACTATCTCCGTCACCCAAATTTGGGAATATTTGGATTTCTAGATAAAGCATACTCAAGCTGTATTGCATTATTCATTTGCCAATACAACTGGTAAGAAATAGTCAATTAAAACTCAACTGAGTCCGCCAACTAACATTTCTTTCAGGTTATAAATGTGGAAAGAACGACTGAGAGTGTCAAAAACACTTCAAAGGGGGAATGAAATGAAATTGTGGAAAGATGACTAAAATAAATGAGTCACAGCAGAAAAAAAAGATTTCAGAAAGATAGGAATGATTCAGTCCAGTAGAGAGAGAAGAAAATGAGAACAGAAAGTAAAATAACAGAAAGGAGAAAATTTAAAGAGCAGATTGAAGAAATATTTCAGGAACAAAAACTTCAGAGAGAGAGGAGACCGGAGAGATCATAGATAGACAGGCTAAAGTCGTATTCAATGCAGGAAACCGAGAAATGAAATATTAATTAAAAGATGTTTTATATTTTTTTATTTATTTATTAATTATATTATTGTTTATTTCTTTTTATTATTATTATTTAAATTTTATTATTATTTTTTTTGTTTTATCTTTTTTTTTATTTTTTCCCACAGGACAAAATCAATACTCTCCCCCAATCCCACCAGTATTCAAATTTGGGCATATTGGGTATTTGTGCCAAATATGGTCCAGTGAATGAAAATACATCATGCATCTCAGATATTTACATTACAATCCACAACAATAGCCAAATTACAATTATGAAGTTGCAACAAAAATAATTTTATGGTTGGGGGTCACCATAACATGAGGAAGGGTATTAAGGGGTCGCGGCATTAGGAAGGTTGAGAACCACTGATCTAGATGGTTTTCTTATGTTCAACTGAGTCTCCCCTTCTCCATCTTAAACCTATTAGATCTAGTCCCGCCTTCTAGATAAGAAGAGAACAAGAGTTTGTCTTCTTCTGTAGCAGTCTTCAATTATTTGCAGAGTGCTATCATACTCCTGCAACCCCCCGGTGTTGCAACAAGTTAAATTGCTGAGCTACTGAACATGCTGACCTAAAGGTCTGCGGTTTGAATCCGGGGAGTGGAGTGAGCTCCTGCTGTTAGCCCCAGCTTCTGCCAACCTAGCAGTTCGTAAACATGCAAATGTGAGTAGATCAATAGGTACCGCTCTGGCGGAAAGGTAACAGCGCTCCATAGTCATGCTGGCCACATGACCTAAAAGGCGTCTATGGACAACGCCGGCTCTTCGGCTAAGAACTGGAGATGAGCACCACCCCCCAGTTGGACTTAATGTCAATGGGAAACCTTTACCTTTTACTATCACATTCCTGAGAGCTAGCATGAAATTTGGCTTAGAAAACTGGAGTAGGAGTTCAGGAGATCAAGGTACAAATCCTAACATGGCCATGGAAACCCACTGGATAGTCAGGAGCAAGCTATACTCTCCAGGCCTCAGAGAAAGGCAAACCTTAACTTGACAAATCATATCATCTAGATTGGAAACTCCTTGAACGCAATGACAACATATTATACAGTATCTCACCGTGCCATAGTCACCACCGCATAATCGTCACCTCGCACCGTTTTCTGAGTCCCAACTTTTTTCTTTTCCTCTCATAATTGTCGCAGATAGTTTTAAACAAAAACAAACCAGAGTTCTCCTCAAATTCAGTTTAAACCAGGCATGAGCAAACTTTTGCCCTCCGGGTGTTTTGGACTTCAACTCCCATCATTCCTAACAGCCTCAGGCCCCTTCCTTTCCCCCCCTCAGACACTTAAAGAAATGGTCTGAGGTTGTTAAGAATAGTGGGAGTTGAAGTCAAAAACACCTAGAGGGTCGAAGTTTGCCCATGCCTGGTTTAAACAAACACCCAGTTCTCCCTGATTCCTCCTCTTCATCTTGCAGAGATTTTTAAACAAACAGAAACCAGTGAACACAATGCACCATTTTATTTCATCACATAAGAGTTGCACCTCCCCTTTTCCAACGAAGTGGATAAAAAGTGCAACTATTATATGATGAAATATGGTACTTCTTCTGTAAATCTATGCTAGAAACAAAGCTAGAAACAATCTTTCTTCATAAGACTTATTTCCTATACCTCTAATCCTCCAAAACTATTTCTAATTTATTTATGTCCTTCCTAAATTGTAGGGTCTAAGATTAAATATGAAGATCCAGATAAGGTACAAGTAGCATAATATATAATTTTTTATGACTTTAAAAACAGAAGTTCTCTTAATGCTGCCTCATATCGCATTAGCTGTTTCTGCAGCTGCGCTTTGCTGTTGACTCATGAGCTGCCTGTGCTCAACAAAAATCCCACCGTCCCTTCTGTTGGGTGAGTGGGCTTACTGACAAAATACCCTCCTCATAAATGTACAGCAGAGTAACTTATTAGCAGCAGCGTGACCCAGCACCAGTAGCCCAAGGTGATAAAAAGAACTAAAACACACAGACCAATTTTCTCTCTTCCATAGGAGGCTTTTCTTTGTAGTAAAGTATATGGTTGCATTATTTGCAACAACTAGGTTTTCGTAACACAAATTAAAAAAATACACAGTAGTTTTACATACAGCAGCCTTCAGACTGGAGCCTTCTCACACAAGGCTTCTCTCACACAGAGGTTTACTTCACACTCCTCAGGACGATGTTAGCTTTGGCCCACTAACTCTAACAAGGCTTCGGCCTACTCGCTCTCCTCAGGACGACACTAGCTTTGGCCCACTAACAAGTTTAGGCCTCCTCACTCTTCTCAAGACGACACTAGCTTTGGTCCACTGACTCTAACAGTGTTTGGCCTACTCGCTTTCCTCAGGATGACACTAGTTTTGGCCCACTGACTCTAACAGGCTTTGTCCTACTCACACTCCTCAGGACGACACTAGCTTTGACCCACTAACTCTAACAGGATTCGGCCTACTCACTCTCCATGACGACATGAGCTTCGGCCCATTAACTCTAACAGGCTTTGGCCTACTCACTTTCCTCAGAATGACACTAGCTTTGACCCACTGACTCTAACAGGCTTTGGCCTACTCACTCTCCTCAGGATGACGCTAGCTTTGGCCCACTGACTCTAACAGGCTTCGGCCTACTCACTCTCCTCAGGACGACACTAGCTTTGGCCCACTGACTCTAACAGGCTTCGGCCTACTCACTCTCCTCAGGATGACAGTAGCTTTGGCCCACTGACTCTATCAAGCTTCAGCCTACTCACTCTCCTCAGGACGACACTAGCTTTGACCTACTGACTCTAACAGGCTTTGGCCTACTTACTCTCCTCAGTACAACAATACTGTGGTTCACTGAGTCTAACAGGATTCAGCCTACTCACTCTCCTCAGGATGACACGAGCTTTGACCCACTGACTCTAACAGGCTTCGGTCTACTCACTCTTCTCAGGACAACACTAGCTTTGGTCCACTGACTCTAACAGGCTTTGGCCTACTCACTCTCCCCAGGACGACACAAGCTTTGGCCCACTAACTCTATCAAGCTTCAGCCTACTCACTCTCCTCAGGACGACACTAGCTTTGGCCCACTAACTCTAACAGGCTTCAGCCTACTCACTCTCCTAAGATGACACTAGCTTTGATTCACTGACTCCAACAGGCTTCGGCCTACTCATTCTTCTTAGGACGACACTAGCTTTGATCCACTGACTCTAACAGGCTTTGGCCTACTCACTCTCCTCAGGACAACACTAGCTTTGGCCCACTAACTCCAGCAGGATTCGGCCTACTCACTCTCCTCAGGACGACACTAGCTTTGGCCCACTAACTCTAACAGTCTTCGGCCTACTCACTCTCCTCAGGATGACACTAGCTTTGGCTTCAGCCTACTTACTCTCCTCAGTACAACACTAGCTTTGGCCCACTGACTCTAACAGGCTTTGGCCTACTCACTTTCCTCAGAAGGACACTAAGCTTTGACCCACTGACTCTAACAGGCTTTGGCCTACTCACTCTCCTCAGGACAACACTAGTTTTGATCCGCTGACTCTAACAGGTTTCAGCCTACTCACTCTTTCAGCGCCTGACTCACACTTTTGTAATCAAAAATATCCAGTTAATTTTTAATATTTCTGGCAGGTTCCACATGGAGTGTTACCAAGTAATGTCTCTACCATCTTATATCTGCACACCTCACTGGCCTAAATGCCAAATTTTGCCTAAGAAGGACCAACTTTTCTCTAAGGAAATGGCTGAGGAGCTTTAGCACCAGACTTACCCCTGAGGATCTGATAGAGAAAGACCTTGATGTGATCAGCGCTGAGAGGTTGTGGAGACACGATGACTTTGTGAAGGTCACTTTGCATCAACTCAGTGATGACGTAACTGGTGGGCATCAGTCAAGGATGGTGGTGCAAGATGGTCGGGAAGCTGGGTATCTGACTCCCCAACCTTTGCCATTGCAGGTAAAAAAGAAAAGTTGGTTCCCTATTGTTCAGTAGTTGAACCAAGCATATTGGGCAAAATCAGGGGAAAACACAGAACTTGGGAAAGTAATGATAAGATGGAATAAAAGGAATGTGAAACATAAAGTTGATCAATTAGTGATAAAGGACAGGAGAAGCATTTGCAAAATGAAATGTTAATATGGAGAGAAATACAGCTGTTAGACTGAAAACTAGAGTGAGCTTCTTACTTTTAACTTTTCACATAGAAGCAGGGATTTCTGATAATGTTCTTATTGCACAACAAGGTAACAAGCAACAATCAGATTCCCTTTTCTATACAACAATGAAAGGTACAGGAGTCCACTTCAGCTTTTAATCTCACAACACAGGCCCCATCTACACTGCCATACAATGCAGTTTCAGAATACAGTTTAATGGTTATGATATTGGATGTGATGCCGTATGAAAAATGTCGGCCGCGCGGAGAGAAGGGGGGGGAAGAAGGGGAGTGGTCTACGGATGGAAGCTAAGAAGTGAATAGGATAGGAGAAAGGAATGCGAAAAGATCGGAGCAAGAGAGGGAACTTGGATGCTGCGAGAATATTTTAAGGGGGAGAGGAGGAGAGAAAAAGAGGAGAGGGAGGATGGGAAAGTAGTAGAAACGGGGGGGGGAGAGAAACACTAGATTAGTGAAAGGGAGATGAGGGGAGAGAATCAAGAA